CTGCCGCTTTTAGGCACCTTATAGTAAAATAGCTATATTAAAGCTATAATTAATAAAAACAGAACAACAAAACGTGCTTGAGAGTGACACCATAGGGTATAGCATGGTGAAGGAAGCGTACTTTATGTGCTGGACTAGTATTAGTACAAATCAATGCGGATTTTAAAAGCCATAATATTCTACGTCGAGCGAGAAACTTCTGACACCGAAATCACGAGCAAACTAGGTTGTACCAAAACATCAGAGTAGATTTAATTTGACAGATAATATCACATCTGCCCTAATTGACGTCAGTGTCCCCCAATCGCTCAGTTTGACAGCCAGCGCCCTCTAATTGCCCAAATCGCCGTCAGCGGCCCTCCAGTTATCGCAAACGCCCACAAGGGGGCGTTTTCACGCTCTTTGGGAACTGCTGATATAAATTAACATGGGTGTTTTGTTTTGTTTTGTTCAACAGTTTTGGGAAACACTAAACATGTGGATATACTCAAAAACAGGGATTAATTTTAACTTTTCAAAGAGAGATTGCCTGTTGGGATATAGTTATAATTTTTATAACAAATTGTGTAACTGTATACTTCTAGTTGCCCGGTTTTATCTATATCGTTGTAAGATACAGAAAAAGAAACCACTGTTTAATGTTTTTACCTCATATCTGTATGAAGTGAGAGAAATTGAACAAATCATTGCATTTAAAAATGGGAGAATAAAGAAACATGATCAAAAATGGAAAATTTTATGATACATTTACTGATTATTTTATATGATGAATTGTGTATTGTCCATGATTAGTGATTGTTGTAGATGTACCGATCAATTGTGTTTTATATATTAATAAATATATACAAAAAAAAAAAATTAACATAGGTGAGTTAGTTAACTAACGATTTGTGTTGTTATCCAATTATTCGTTACTAACAGGTTTGAAAGGATAGTATCTGGGATAACAGATGTCTATTTGCGTCACATGTTCTCCATGTGCTTCAGGGTTCCATGGGAAAACCTTGGGACTACGCTTCCGTGAGATATCTCGTGTATCTAACAGACAAACAAACAAACAGATAAATACCTATCAACATATTTACCGATCAAGATCGATGAGTAATAAGTAGGTTTTAAGCACTTCAATACGAGTTTGCGCACAGCAATCGTGTTCAAAGTAGAGATGTACCGATACCCCCTTTGTCGCCGATACCGATCCGATACCAGCTAAAAACGCCGATACTACAAAAAGGCCGATATTACCGATATTCCAATACCGATACTATGTAATTAATATTTAATTAGGTGTGCTGTGTAAGGCAGACGGGTTAAAACAATGGTTATTGAGCGTTGTTCATAGTACACATTATTTCAGATCGAAAAAAAAGATATATCACATAATAGAAGATTAATGTTTGTTGTTTGCTTTAACTGATTAAGATACATTGTACAGTAACGCTAATAATCTCGGTGTTCAATTACAAAACTCATGAGCCGGGATGTCCAATTTGAATTTAATTTTAATATCGCGACCTTCGAATATATATCGTTATTCGTGTTTGAAAGAATATCGAATATCACCCACACATTCTAGCGCCGCCGTTCTCTTTTCAAATTGAAAGCTTTTTATAAATATTTTATTTCGTGGCTAATCGTAATCGTCGACGCAATAAATCAAAGCCAACATGAAAAAATATCAATCAGCACCGACAAAAAGAAGGCCCACCTATAACCGTCGAGGATGTTTTTTCACTTTACTATTTTATAATATTTTACAATTACTATCATTTATTTTGAGATAGTCTAGGTAAGTGGTTCTCAACCGGGGGCCGGGGGCCCCCCAAGGGGGCCACAAAGCAGTTTCAGGGGGTCCACGACACAAATCTAATAATTGGTCATAACTTAAGGCGACTTCGTTTGCATAATTTCTTTCCAAAATCAAAATCCCTGTTTGGCGTTCACCGCATTTTTATTACCTAACTAGGTTATTTGCGATTACTGGGTGTAAACACTTTCTTGAATTGTGAACACTCTCGTGAATTGTTTGATCATAATGGAATTTGGAATCCACCAATCATGACAGTTCGCTGATAGGCCGTCTAACTTGCAGACGGGCGGTTTCACTAGACTGCAAGATAACTTTCGCTATCTCATTATAGATGCAATATCCCATATGTAAATTCATAATGCCTAAAATACGAAAATGGAGCGACAATTACGTTGGCTTTACCCAAGTAACTCGAGATGACAGAGAATGTGTTCTATGCCTGCATTACTTGTATGTACTAAGCAGTGAATCATTACGTTCACCTAAACTCCAAAAGCGAAGTGACAAAAATCATACGCAGGTGGAAGACTTTGTCACAACCTTTGTGCGAATCTGGTTTTTCTGATCTTGTTAGCATCAAAACCGTCTCAAGTTTGACAGTGACATTCGTCTGGCTATATTAATGACGGTCCCCAGATTTAGGAACCTCGTCAGACAATCCAAAGCGCAAGATACACATTCGTTGTATACTAAAAAGTTTGGCCTTCCTTGTCTGTGGTTTGTTTTTGCATTCCATAAATAGTCGTAAAACATGCAATCCAACACGTTTAGTTTTTGGAATGACGTACAGGGGGAGCAAAAAGGCGCAGGAAGGGGGCCACGAACCATAGAAGGTTGAGAACAATTGGTCTAGGTGGTCATGTCAATATATCTATAGAGAAATTGTATAGTTAAACATTAAAATTAATATCTGCGTAGACTGTTGAGGGATAATTGTGTCGGAATTTAGTTTATCGATGTCGACGGACTAAATGACACTCGTACTTGACGACAAACAGTCAGAATTTATACCCGTGCCAAAAGTCCATGTGCCGTTAATAAGGACCCCAATTCGACTGTATGATTTGAAACTGGGCGTCTAGTTGCCTTTTGTTAGGTGCTGTGTTGATATATTTTTTTCATAATTACTATGTAATATTAAAATTGTCAATATAAAAATTTGACAGCGAAAATAGCCAAATTAGTTGAGCTAGTTTATCTGATAAATAGCTAAAAGCACGTGAATCCTCTTCTCTCGCGGGGATGGGGACATGTATGGCTCATAGCTCACGACCTCTCCAGACAAAAAATAAATTGGAAAGTAGTATTTCAACTTATCTTTTAAAACATTCTGGACCATATCAAAAAGGTAAATATATCGGAAAAATGGCCAATATTACCGATACCCGATACCGATACATCGGTACATCTCTAGTTCAAAGTGTGTAAGCCATGAACATTTAATATTAATATCGTCATCGACGGAATCTAACTGCCTTCATTTTGTGCTTCAACTCTGAAACATAGAACAAGACAAACAACAGTTGTAATGAAGCCATATAAAAATTTCTCACGACCTCACAAGCGTAATATATGCGTCACCACATGTATTTCGCAGATTCGAAACCCATGGGGAATATTTATGTGGGAGAGGATTGCCAGACTCCTCACTGTCGCAGGGTGTTTCAGGTAACCTCTGTTCCGTTACGGCTTTTCCCACCATCAAGTCCATGCATCTGAAACAAATGCCTGGCTAACTAATCCCATACTCGACATGGACCGGTAATCGGGCAAGAGGCTACGGTGCGCCATATGATTAAGCCAAATCATCGGCTTTTCTTTCCCAGGGATAAAAATAATGTGTTACCTTATACATATTTAACATTGCGATTCAAAAACATTATTATTTCGACGTGCTGCAGATGTACGCGACTTCACCAATCCGGCACTACTTGAGAGTAAAACGCGTTCACTAGGAACTGAAGTTACCACCGTGCACAGTTAGTATGCTCTTACCAGTTTCGAAAAATTCAGAAAAACATTTTTTCGCGGCTTTTTCATCGAAACAAACTATAAATACGGTGTGATACATACGCTTTGTTTATTTATTGGCGAGCTTAACTTAAGCAAGAGATCTATCTGGACGTTGCATTTTGAAAATTTTCCGACTTTCCAGAGTCAAAATCATTTCATAGTATAACCTCGAAGAGCATTCTAGAATACTCCTTCAATTCATGAAACACTCTCGTCTTCTTCATTTGACATCAAAGAACTATATAACACACAATAAAGTCGGCCCTGTGCATTGTAAAAATCCAGTTAATAACAGCAATTTATTTCATGATTTATATTTAGGAAGTTTTAAATAATCAAAGAAAATAAAATTCGGCAGATAGACTTTTTCTCCTATTTGAGGAGCGCATACAGGAACTGGGAAGAGATTTGCTTTAATTCTAGAGTCGCATAACCGTTCGTCTAATAATCGAAAGAGATAGTAATAAGAAATAAATTATCTATAGAATAATTTCTAAAAACAACTGTCATAATATTGAAGCAATATCAGTCTTCCTGAGATCGAAGTCCGCTTTACCGTGTATGATTAAAACTTGAAAGTTTGTTGTTGATTTGTTGTCAATAAGCAAAAGAAAGATAGAACAAGATTTATGGGAAATAAGTTTATTAACGTAGTTAATTCTGGACTGTTAGAACAAAACAGTTAATTAGGCAATTCACGATTTGTATGATGGTCTGTTCATTTGTCCTGTTATGCCAAACAAAAGAGCTACTTACTCTTCAGTACATTGCGAAAATATTCAAACTCTGACGTGGTGAATAGGAGCCATTTACCTTGATGTAGTCTACTTTCTGTCAATAAGTTAATTTCGATCTCAATAAAATTCAAAATATTGTTTTTGACAGGAAACTGTAATATCAAGCTACCGTTGAAAATATTCTTATGATTCAAAAAAAGTAGCAAGCTCAAATTACTTTGAAAACAATGGGTGACAATAGAATGTATTATATATGTGATTGATCTGGTATAATTAGAACAATGACTGTAAAGTCTTTCTTAATAATGACAAAGATAATGGGCATTGTGATGAATAGATTTCGGCGATTCACCGTTTCTCTAAACGTGTATAGGGATGCCCCTCCGCATAAGACAAAGAATAGGATTGCTGGGAAGCTGTGAGCATTTCCGTGGCCGTGCTCAACCTGAAATAGTATCAAGTTTTGATTCGATGTTGTTTTGATTATTTTACCAATTTCTAGCATTCAAGTTTAAATAATAGATAAGTATTTTTTTGATGATAAAAAAAAGAGAAGCAAAACATTTTTGTGGGAAGTCTTCAACTGCTTTTATTACTTCAGGCTATGCAATGCGTACTACTTCAAATAGCATTGTTTATATAGGAATATGTGCTTTCTGTATTTTATTACTTGTTATATACGCATCTTATAAGTGTCCTGGTAATCCTGAAATTCACGTATCGCTTCACCAAAGTTACAACAGCAGTCTTCACGCAACTTCGAACGAATTGAGATATCGTAACCCATTTTGTGAAAACATCTTGTATAATTTGAGCAATGGTCAGTGGGTGAAAAAGATTAATAGTTTTAATAAAAATGAGGAAGAATATGAGAAATTACTGAAAGAAGAAGAGGAATTGGATTCTTCCTTGACTGAATTTCGTATAAATCGTGGAATACATACACGACTGTGGAGAGATGATAACAAATGTGGATTTACCAAGTAAATATTCTCTTTCAATTAACTTATCCTGTTAATATAATACCCTGAGTATACAAAGAGGGCCCACAAAAAATGAGAAATACTGTTGGAACTCTGTAAGAATGCTTTGATAAATATATAGAAGATTTGAACTAAGGCGGCGTTTTGATATTTTTCACATTTATTCACAACCAGACCGAATTTTTGTGATATACGAAATATATCTATAAGTCGAGACGTAGAGGTTTTGTTCAGGCAGGTTTTGAACCTGAATTCGAGGTGAAATAGTTATTTTAATATTTGCATCACGGTACCCTTATCGTGTCTGTAGACAATTCTGCCGCGCCATCGGGATGTTAATTTAGTGTTTACATTACGTTTCAAAACTGATTCAAGCAGATTTGAAATCAATAATTTTGTACTAAAACCGTGGTTATGATATCATAGCATCGGACTATTATGTTAAAAGAGTTTCAACGTAATAGGATACGTAGTGGACATAGCGATCATTTCAATATTATGTTGTTGTTCTTGTTTTTTGACACGTTTTTTTTTCTAAATTTTGTATGAATTCTATTAAATTTGATGTTTCGCCCAAAATTTCTCCGTATTTTTCATCCACGGGAACACGGATTTTAGTCCACGTAAAGACTGGCTGTACGTTTTGATTCTGCAGAATTCCTGCTACTGAAAATCTAGAATTTTTTTTGATGAAATGAGGTACCTGCTCTGGTAGTACAGAAGTGACTCACATCACGTGATATTACAGTATATGGACAAAAGATTTCATAGATAACTGAGCAATAGCTATGACATCAGATGAAGTTGTTTACGATCAATATCGTTCAGATGATCCCGAGCACAAAGTCTTTGAATTAAGTCCATGATGAACAAAATCATAAATGTTAATAACAACATATCACGACAAAATAGGTCACTGATCACTTGCTAGGAAACAAATTGGCAGTTCTTTTTTTGAGATAATGGTATTGTATAAATTATTGCAACCGATAAGTGCATTTGAATATAACGTGGAAAAATGGAAAAATAAAAAACGCAAAGAATATTTGCTAAAATAAGTGCCTTAGACTGAATTTTGAAACAGGCTCGTGCATAGACCCCCCTAAAAAGATGTAAGGCGATTATTACTCATTTCTGATGTTAGAACTATAACTCATAACCAACAATCATGAGAGACAGTGAAATGAGTAATTTTAAAGTGGGAAACCGGCAAAATGATTGATTTTTACAGTGAAATATAGAAAATAGCAGCTAATGAAATTATATTTATGTTCACGTTATCCATACTTTAACTTTTTGTCGTTATGATACGCGTAATCAGTATCATTTGTCGTGATATGTTGTTATTAACATTTATGATTTTGTTCATAATGGACCTAATTCAAAGACTTTGTGCTCGGGATCATCTGAACGATATTGATCGTAAACAACTTCATCTGATGTCATAGCTATTACTCAGTTATCTATGAAATCTTTTGTCCATATACTGTATTTCGAATGTTCCTGAAAATTTCACACGATTTCAGATTTATTTATGTCCTTCCAGATATCTCGTAACATGTGTAATATTGCAAACGTTTGCCCATGTTAGACTTATAATATAATCTTGTTGATAATCTGAAACACAAATACAAGACAAAATATACAAAAGATTTTTCCAAACAAACGGCGTCATATGGCGATTTTTCAGTTATGAATTGTCGTCTTGTGGCTTTCTAAGCATTGCACACAAAAGTCCCCAAAAATTATATGATCAAAATAAGAAGGTCTACTCTTATATTGTAATAACGTTACATACAATTTACAGCGTGCAGACGAAGCCAAAAGGAAATGCGTGGGAAGCTCCTGTAGGAGGTTGGTGTGATGCAAAAAGTGAGAGACCTTGTTGCAGTGACATTAATGATGGTGATTGTGGAAGCATATGTGATTGTCCCAAGTGAGTGCTCTATTTTCATCATTCTTTTCAAACACAGTAGAGCTTGTACACAAGACATTGCTAACTTTCGATGAAAAAGATCCAAAGTCTTTGTTGTAAAAAGGTCGTGTGAAGTGGAAACTACATATTTAATGCAAATATAGTATTCCTCGGACTCGACAGCAGAGAGTTGGTTGTTAGTTAACTTATTACTTGAGTTTTAACCCTTTCCGGGGCTCTTTATCTTTTAGCAATACTTTTTGATCACTTATGATAAAATTTTGACACTCCGTCTCCCTGGGACGGATGTACCGGATGTTAATTATAATTACGGTTTTACGATTTCGGCATGGACTTGACTGTAAGTGATCTCTTTTTTCTTCAAATATTCGTTATATTGATTGGCGGCCTTCACTCATTCTAGAAGACGCCATGAAAACTTCTGCTCAGACTAACTAACATTTTTGTGTATACACATTTTTTGTTTTGCTCAACAATCAGTATAGATTGGTTCATGAGTGGATTGCAATACGACCACGGTGATGTCAAACATTTCTCTGACTGAACTGCGCCGCATTCGGGTTTGCAAAATACGACTTAGTTTCAACTGTAGGTTCGTTTCGAGATAACCTTTGACTATTATTTTAAATTTCAACTGTCGAAATAATTGGTGAAGGTCTGATTTTCTGCAGTTCAATCTCATCCACATAATTTTTGTTCTGGAATAATAAAAACGATTTCCAAACGGTTTATTACCGTCGTGTTCGTAAAGATTATGTAATTGGTAATTCTTAACTTTTAGTTGCGTCGATACCAGGAAGATATATCACGCTGAAATAAGTGATTGGATTCCATTTGATTCTTCATGTAGACGACGAAACTACACAGCAGCACAAGCTTGTGAAGTTGTTAATCGATTCTCTCAAATTTATTTTGTTGGCGATTCTTTTGTGAGAAAAATGGCACGGGGTTTTGTTTTGACTTTAAGGTCAGATCCAACGTATGGATTTTTACTGGCACGGTATGATGAAAATTTCACCAAACTATGTGTTGGTGTTGACCAGTTCTATTGGAAAGAATGCAGAACTCACGGGGGTGAGATACTAAAAACTCTCCTGGATAAAACTCCTTTTTGTGGAAGTCAGACACCGCTCGTTACCCTCAATTATTTTTACAACCATCAACATGCAAACGCGTTTTTAAATTTAGTGAAGAGATTAACAGGAAAAGTTGGTTCAGTTTTGCTGGTTGGTCAGGGTGTACACGATAGATGCAAATCTGAAGTGACTATTAAAAAATTTTTGAATCCCGTCATTCAATATTTGGCTGATTTCTACAAAGATTCTGACAACACGACTGTTGAACCCTCGAATAAATTGAAGAAGATTCATCGATGGCCACATATCATGTTTATGTATCCTGACTCTAACGGAATATTAAAACCAAAAGCATATCATGCAGCAAACGGTGATATTGTTTGTAAAAAATTTTCTCGAGAAATGAAAGTGTATTGCGATGCTCATAATATTCCTGTACTTGATTTCTCCAGTCTTACATCAAGAGTTCACAGTTACGATGGAGCACATCACGGTCTAGGAGTAAATATTATGAAAGTCCAAATTTTGCTCAATTACCTCGACTACATATCAGAATCTGCTGGATATTTAAGATGAAAAAAACTGTTCCATGTTTACGTAGTTAAATACATCTAGGAATAAGCTACTCAATATCTAATCTAGAACAAAACCCCTGGACCCTAACTCACCGATTATTGTTCCTGAGTAAAGTAATATTAATCTATTTGTTGACTCGGATGTATTTGCTACTTTATATTTGAAATATGGCCTGATTATCTATTGAAATTTATATATAAATTCATATTTGAATTACCGCCTTGTTGCCACATTTCGATACTATCGTTGTTTTATTATTATTAATGCTTCTTTGAACAGTTACAAAATTAGGCATGCCAGTATTTTAATTAGTCGAATAGATGGCGTAGCCCCAAGGTTTCTCCCATGAAGCACAGGGGGAACATGTGCTCCAGATAGAGAGCTGTTATCCCAGCGACATTACTTTAAAATCCGTATTAAGTTATTAGATATGACAACAACACAAATCGTTAGTTAACTAATTCACTAATGGTATTTATATAATAATAATTGCGTTGTTATTTCGAACAAATTTATAAAAAAATCCGAAGAAAGTTTTTCCCATGCTTCTTTCATTCTGTTCATTCATTTTAATTATTTGTTTCAACTAATCTTTACTATTACTTCACTTTTCATATTTTCTGTATGTTCTTTCATCTGCTTTCTGTACATGGAAATCAAAATGCTTGTGAATCACTTTTAGACATTAAATTTAATTTCAAATATATATTAATCAGATGTCTAGTTTAATATTTTTTTTTCATTTTTTTTGTGACTCAGATAACCTGTATTTTAACCCTAATTAATCTATTTTGATGAATAATTAATCTAAGAATACATCGATTCCTCATATCTAATTTGACTCTGCCGTGCTCGACCAATGTCTTGTATTCAGTTATGTTATTTTTATTCAATCAATTTATTGGCATATTTGAATTGGTTTTATTGATTGAAATAACTAAAAATATATCCAGAGGCTATAGAATAAAGCAGGTTGTCATGGCATCTGGCAGTTATTCCTGAACAAGTAGTGGCAGAGTATTTCTGCTGTTCCGTGTTTGCATTTATTGGGTAGTAATTTCTGAATTTAAACTTTATATAGGGATTATACGGTTCAATTGAAAAATTTGGGATATATTCAGTACGACTATGCTCAAACATCCATGATCCATGGGCACCTGCTCTTCAAATTTGTATTTAACAGCTCTTCATAAGTCATTTACCACACCTGTTAATAGTCAGGATAGTCAAAGTTTGTTGGTTCTTCAGTCCTTATAGTGATTTTAACTCCAATGTTACCTCCAATGCAGAATAAGTTTGATTTCCCCCATACGGTATATTCATTTGCTGTATCCATCATTTTTATTTTAAATGGTTAACAACATGGACATAAGTGAATATTTAACACCGGGCATAATGGGTTGATACATACTCTGATATGGATGAAGAATGTGCATTGAAGGCTCCAATACAGAAGATCTCTATATCAATTGAATCTGTACATGGTTTGATGAAAAGTGTACGTTCAGATGTATAGCCTCCAGATTTTGGTGTATCTATATTGAAAGAATGGAAAGAGGAGCTAAATATTGGTCAGATACCAAAGTACTGTTGTAAAGCAAATCTTTTTTCAAGTCCCATGTTTTGTCAGACTCAAAGGCTGCAAATTTATTTAACATTATTAACACAAAATTATAGAAAAAGCTATAACAAAAAAGGAGAGATGCCTGAAATAATTGCCAGTGAAACAAATAGGTCTGAAAATGACATCTTAGAATATCTTGGGGCACTATGTTGAAAATTTTGTGTGACTACATTGAATTTTTTTCCAAAGAGGCAAGTAAAAATCCCGATAAAATGGCAACAAATGTTCTTACCAGTCAATATTTCTAAGACTTTGTAATTCACATTGGAAATCAGTGGGATAAAGAATTGTCAGATGATATAAAAGAGTTACATATGGTGTTAACCTGTCGAATCGCGTGTTGTCATACACATTTTAATAAACCTTTTTTCATACAAGCACGCACGCATAAACCATCATCATTTTGGCAGGGTTGCGCGGAGACCTCAAGAAACAGCATTAAAACTTTCAAACGTGTGTAACTTTCTCTAAAACAGGGTGATTCAAGGTTGTCGGCTCCGATGGCCACAAAATTATTTTTGCATTGATCGCGGGCCACAATAATGCCGAGAATAGGTAAACGAAGAAATAAAAAACAAACACTTTTATTGTGCAAACACATTGACCAGTATTTGTCAGTTATCAATCTAAAACATGCAAAAACCACCAAAAATCTTACTAAAACCTGCAAAAGTATTTCTATATTTACATTCAGTGTAAGTTTTCAAGCTCTTAATAGCGCAAAAACTGCTTCCGCAAATGTAAGTGCTTTCGAACGTCGATAAGATTTTCAAAGCAAAATCTTAACTTTGTAAAATGCCCATTCCTCACAAGATTCTAAAATGCCGTTTCAAATTATATTCTTCTGTCACCGACTTGCAAACATCCTCGCACATCCAGTTAAAATCTGTTTGAGTTCGTCCGCTTTCTTTTCAAACTCAGGTTTACAAAATAACTGCAGATTGATTGACTACCAAATGTGAGGTACATGAGGGGAATTACTGAATTTTCTGACATATCGGCAGCATTTTTGTAATACTGTTTAGGCTGGTTGCAAAAAACACCCGGTATAAATTATATTGTTAGGTCATCACATTAATATTTAGTTATCAGTCATAGCCAACCAGGCGAATAGAATCAGGATTCGATTTTTAGTTTTCTATGATGCCAAAATTGTTAGCTTATATTCCCGACCGAAAAACATAGCTTGTCCCTGTTGAAATCTGTTTTATGCTTTCTCTTCGCCAATAAAAAAATAATGTCTTGACCGAAATGAGTTTAATTCGAATTGAATTCACTCCGGGCATCCCAGACACCAACTGGTCATTTGGTAAGGATTATTTCGACTGCTGGCCGATATTTGTAACAAGCCATTGTGTTGGGTTTTTCTAAAAAAATCCTTGCACAGATAGGCAGATTCACTATGCAAGCCATTGTATGTTAATAGTGCTGATATCGTATCTCGTTTTCAATTGATTACCAGTTTTATGCTGAAACTGATTGGTGTAATACCGATATCATATATCAGTCCGGGAACGCTATATATCTGTCGCAAATTCTCTATCGGCCACAGCTGAGGACTGCACGCAACGCAAAATCGCGCTGTAGGAATGCCGTGCAGCCCAACTCAAGCGTAGCGAGAGAACAATGTAACATAAATTAACATGACGAAAATAGCGTGGGCGAACTATATTCAGTACAACTATGTATTTACAATACACACACATCTCATTGGGCCGAATATTAGATATTTCATACTTTGACTTGGTGAAAGTGCATTTCTAACTTCAGCAAACATGATGGCTTTGGTGCGAAGAAGTAAGTCAGGTCAAGTTTCTTTTCTCACAAATAAAAAATCAATCATATACAAATTTTGAGAAAAATTGACAATCACAAAGTTTTACTGTGAAATGGAAGCCGCAATAAACCAAAGGCAGTTAACAAGCAACGACACCCAAGGCTTGTAAATAAAACTGAAATATCGAGAATTTCAATTATTGAATTGCAGTTATTGTGGGTGAGTAACATATGTTTTTTGTGGAATTCTATCTTGATAACTAATAGTACAAATATAGCAGAAAATATAAATGTATCAGAATATTATGAGTTTGAAAATATTAGCATCGGAAAGTAATTGATTAATGATAAAAATAAAATAAGAGATGAACAGTTTGGTATTTATTTAAACCACTGCAGCGTTTTTCAAATGCAAGGCTCAGAAGAATTAACATAGTTTCAAAACAAGAGAGCGTTGTTAAAATATATGGACACGAAGCCCAAAGTATTATGGGTATGCAATCTGTCACAGCAAGCTACCGGTATAGTAGTTAATGAGAAAAACGATGTTTTCATAACGATAAGATGACGTGAAATACAAAAAAAACATATACACACTGCGTGTCCATTAAGAACAGAGAACGCAATACTGTAATTGCCTTTAACTCAATGCAAAATTACGCCGACGAGTTCTCAGTAACTCGTCATCGGCGGACCCTACTAATTATCGGTTGATTTTTGCAAGGTCGTGTCTCGCAAACGAAGTCCACTTTATGTAAACGGTAAATGCCAAAGATTATAACAAATTAAACAATTTATATATATATATATAAATAATTATAAAACAAATAAAAAATTATGGGGGATCAAATTAGCCACAAAAATCTTTCCATGATAACCCACCTTCAAGATGAAGGCCTTGCGCTATTGTTTGTTTTATCATTTTTTTTTAATGTCTGTTATGCTGATTATGGAGCCTGAAAAAGAAATATTATACCCCCTCTGCCAGGAAACGAACCACGATCTCCCGCGTAACAGGCGTCAATTCGGCCATAGGGACTGACCTAGCGAAGTTAGTCAAGGAAAGATTTATCACAATATTGAAGCCAATGGTCCAAAGCTCGATGACTATGCCGTTTTACTGACCTGCGTATTTCCAGTATTTCATTTTCTTACGCTTTGTGGCCATAAACTTCGTTTCGATGATACTATGTGGAATTGCTACTTAAAATAAGTTGCTTGTGGTTTGTATTAAAATATCATATAAACGAAAGACATTGGTTTAGCACGACAGTGTAAAATTAGTTATAAAAAATCGATGTGGTCCTAGAATCTAGATTATTCATCAAAAATAGATTAATTAAAAAAAAAAAATTCGAAAAACAAATATAAAAATAGGCTTTTGACTAATATTTTAATTTTCAATCACTACAAATTGGGAAATGATTGGACTAACGAGGGTTGAAAATTAAGAGAACAACAAATTTAGAAGCCCACAAAAATTGCTAAATTCATCTATAGATTGATTCTGTGTCTCAGTACAAAACCAATGCATGAAATTAAATTTCTAAAAGTGATTCACAAGCATCTTGAACTCCATATAGGCTACAGAAAGCAGATGAATGAAAATACGAAACATATGAAAAGTGAAATAATAGCAAAGACTAGTTGAAACTTCAAACTGATAAATAAAATGAATAAACAGAATGAAACATGAGAAAAATTCCTTGGATTTTTTTTTAATATTCTAAATATAAAGCAGCAAATACATCCGAGCCAATAAATAAAGTAAATTTAATGTATTCAGGAACATTAATCGGTAAGTAACAATACGATTTTGTTGTGATTTTTATTTATCGTGAGGCTCTATAAATATTAGTCAACCTCTTCACGGGCTACATAACGAAAAGTTTGAGAACCCTTGGTCCAGGGGGTTTATTCTAGATTATATATTGAGTAGCTTATACTTATTTGAATAAGTAAACATTGACAAATTTTGTTCATCTTAAATATCTAGACTAAGATATATAATCGAGGTAATTGAGTAAAATCTGGACTTTCATAATATTTACTCCTAGACCGTGATGTGCTCCATCATAACTATGAACTCCTGATGTAAGACTGGAAAAATCAAGTACAGGAATATTATGAGCATCGCAATATACTTTCATTTCCCTAGAGAATTTTTTACAAACAATATCACCGTTTGCTGCATGATATGCTTTTGGTTTTAATATTCCGTTAGAGTCAGGATACATAAAAATGATATGTGGCCATCGATGAATCTTTTTAAATACTCTCGAGGGTTCAACAGTCGTGTTGTTATAATCTTTGTAGAAATCATCCAAATGTTGAATCACGGGGCTCAAAAATTTTGTAATAGTCACTTCAGATTTGCATCCGTCGTGTCCACCCTGACCAACCAGCAAAATTGAACCAACTGTTCCTGTCAAACTTTTAACTAAATTTAAAAACCCGTTTGCAGATGCATGATTGTACCAACTATTGAGAGTAACGAGTGGTGTCTGGCTTCCACAAAAAGGAGTTTTATCTAGGAGATTTTTGAGTATCTCTCCCCCGTCAATTCTACATTCTGTCCAATATAACTGGTCAGCGCCAACACATAGTTTGGTCAAATTTTCATCATACCGCGCCAGTAAAAATCCATACGTTGGATCGGACCTTAAAGTCAAAACAAAACCTCTTGCCATTTTTCTCACAAAAGAATCACCAACAAAATATATTTGAGAGAACCGATTGACAACTTCACAAGCTTGTGCTGCTGTGTAGTTTCGTCGTCGACATGAAGAATCAAATGGAATCCATTCACTTATTTCAGCGTGATATATCTTCCTGGTATCAACGCAACTGAAAAGTAATAATTACCAATTACATAATCATTAATAACATGGCAGTAATAAACCGTTTGTAAACAAAAAGTTGCACAATCAACAAGAATTACAGCAGCAAAAACAATAACGATTATCATTGCGATCCATGTGGACCCTATTCAGGGATGTGCCAAACTTTTCTGCTGCCCGGGGCGAGTTTCAAATACTGATGTCCTCTTTCCCTAACGTCAAAAATAATTTGGGGGCTGGACAGATTATAGATGTCGTTATACATGAGGATAAATAAATTAAAGGTAAAGTAAGATAGAAACGTTTGTTTTATTAAATAAATATTCAAACTAAGCAGCAAACTCACATGTATGAGTTCAAACTTTTTTATTAACAAAAAGCAAGTCACTTATTTCTATGTCCATTCGCTACTTTGCTGGCAACAAATGTCTGAACGACAGTCTCTTTCACCTCGGCCGTCAGGAATTCCATTTCGATGCTAATCAAAGATATACTTGACAGGCGTTAATTTGACATCGAAGACTTCGAATATGTTTTTATCTGCTTCAACTTTGAGAAAGCTCATTCGCAACCAGCAATTGAGTAGCCGATTGTGAGAAATAAACATTATGCAATGCACAAAGCTGGAAAAACATGCCAAGCTCATCCTGAAGCAAGAAAATCTTTAGCATTTCTTAGAAAAGCTATGTTTCCACTTCGGAAAACTGACGTAACAGTAGACGTTTTAGCAGTCGCACAGACAGATTTTCTGGCATGGGTGTAAACATTACCTTGTTTTTGCATGCTAATTGTTAGTTTTTGTTTGTGTTTTCAGAACGAATCTAATAACTCAATGATAAGGTGACAGCACATTTGCACCCACGTACATTTACACCCGTAAACTACACCCAGGACATTTGCACCTGCATACTTTTGCACCCACTGACATTTGCACCCATACATTTCCTCCCGTAGATTTTACCACCCGCATATAGATTGCACCCGTGGACATTAGCACACATACACATTTGCACCCACAAAAATCTGCAACCAGTACATTTGCAACCAAAAACATTTTAACCCTTTACATCATTGCACCCATGCAGGTGCAAATTTTCATGGATGCAAATGTACGCTGATTCAAATGTACATGGGTTCAAATGTCCGTGGGTTTAAATGTCAGCGGGTGCAAATGTACGTGGGTGCAAATATTCATGGGTGCAAATGTTCGGGGGTACAGAGGTCCATGGGTGCAATGCAATCTGCATGCGGGTGCTAAAATATGCGGGTGCAATTGTTCTTGGGGACAAATTACGGGTGCAAAGATATTGGAACCTAATAATTATATTATCTTCTCATATCGTTTTAATTGCGGTAATCAAAAAGTAGTCCAAAAATAGCTGTGATAGACAAGGCTACTTTTTTCTACCAGTACTTTTAAATGACAGGGTTGAATATTTTGAATTAAATGATTGTTCTAAACATATATACCAGTTGAAGGCGCTAATTCGCGAAGCCACCCTCAAAATAAGCACCAAAAATGTTGCAATTGTAAAGTAGGATAGAAAGAATTTGTCCGTGGTCAATGGTCGGGGAAACATCCGTTGTTGACTCACTATCACCATATTCACTCACACAAGACTAAACACATCATGTCATCTTTTAATTAAATAAAAACACATCGATAAAAACATGTGTAGCAAACGCCAACTCTACAGCTTGGTTCTGCTGCCCCCTATAACTTGCTGCCCCCCCCCCCCCCCTCTAAGCACTGAACTGACCCTATATGTGCAACTAGCATTCAAGCTTCGAGACGCGAGTATATTCAATACTGGTCACCCGAGTCTGTCTGCTCCACGTGCTACTGTGGTACTGGATTGGTTGAATGCAACTGCTATTTTTCATTGCCGCCGCCAGATGACGCTGTAAGCATCTTTCGCAAGTTGCGTTCTCCGGTGTTCAAGTAAGGCTGATGAACCATGGTTATAGAATTTTAGTTCAAATTTTATCGAATTAAATTGTATTTCTAATGACACACTTCCAGATAAAGTTGCAAATGAGAGTAACAATTGTGAATATAATAACGCTGGTCATGTCAAATGACATAATTCACAGAACAAAATTTATGTAGATGAGATTGAGCCACAGAAAATCAGACCCACACCAATTATTTTGACTGTTCGAATTTATAATAAAAGATAATGGTTATTCAAAACTAACCTAGAGTTGAAACAAAGTCGTGTTTTGCAATCCACTCATCAACTAATCTATACTATTTATTGAGGAACACAATAAAAAATATATAATAATAAATAAATAAATAGAGTTAGTCTAAACCCAAATGCTGCAGAGAACTACTGCTGACCGTGTTTTTTTGTTCATGGAGTCTTTTGGAGTGGGGGAGAGACGACCGATAAATCTAAACGAAAGTATGAAGAAGAAGAAGGAAAAAAATAAAATAAAACCAGTCCAGTCAACGCCGAAATTGTAAAACTAACAAATTGCCGAATACTTTTCTGCTACTAAAAATTTGCTTCCTAATGCTTTGAAGCGAAACGTGATCAAAAAAACTTTTGCGATAATATTTCTTTCTATGGTGAAATACATGATAGCAAGTGATTGCAAACTAATTTTGATTCAAAAGTTAGATTTTATATATTTTTGCATTTCAATAGATATGAAAATTAGGAGTTTTAAAATAATTTTAAAGAAATAGGTAAACGAAAGTATCAAGAGACAACTCATAAGCATTTTCTCCCTATATTAACAGAACAAATAACTAGAGAGCAAAAATCTGATCTATATTAACATTTTATTACATGTTAATGCGCCTTTTCAATCTAATTTGAAGTTTTGAATTGAGCCATAAAATAAGTTCGACAGTCGCATTTTTTATTTTCAATCATCGTGATATACGTACCGATCATATTACAAAGTTTTACAGATTGAACAACATAAATGTTATATTCCACAATTACTCCTTTCCGGATAGAAGTTGCACTGGAGTATCATCCGGAAAACATCCCAAAGAGGCGGAATGGCGAAAATTAAAAAGAATTATCATAAGCGACCTAAAAGTATTGTTTCCACCAATTATCGGATTTTTCCAATGCGAAAAGATGAAGGTGCCTGAGGAGGGTTGAAGCTCAAGTACTAAGTTGACTAACAACCAACTCTGTGCTGTAGAGTCCGAGTAAAAATGTAATTCCACTGTCCACATTCACACCAAAGATTTTGTATATTTTTCATCGAAATATCCTGTGTGGGAGGGAGGTATAGTGCAACTCGTCTGTCACTGCAGCTTTTTAACATCACATCATATTATTTTAATTAAGTGAAATTAGTTGATCTAGTTTAAAAATTTACTGGAAACATGCTGGATTGTAACCCATAAATATATGCAAATTACATGAAAAGTAATATGCTCATTTGTTGTGTGTACTATCAGTAGCGTTATATTCAAATGGTTTTGTGTGATTTAATATTTATAAACCGCGTTCATTTAGTACCCCTTTTCCTAACTGGGGAAGAATTTTTTTTCAGGAGTGAATTATGTCATTCTTGGGAACCACTGATCTGGTAGCTACTAGCTACACGCTGGAGCAGTGATTCCTAATCTTTGATGATCCGTGGCCGCCTTACAAATATTCTAAACACTTGTGACTCATATTCTTCTACAAAAATACATAGCTTTGCTTGAAAAACGTTTTCATAAATTATTTTAAGCTCAACAGAACAAACGCGGTCAGTCAAGGAATTAAACAATTTACGGTCAATTTATTTTATATTTATGTAGTCCGCGCGAATGGTACATAGTAAAGGCTTTTACTCCGGGCTCACAGAGAAACTCTCCGCGGTCCTCAAGTGAGAACCAGTTTGAAAAATTCTGCGCTAGATTGTTGAATGAAAACTAGAAAAAAGAATTATTGATTCCCACCCATTTTAAACTAAGTATTGATTACCCTTTCAAACCCCTATATCTGAACATGCCATAATACAAGTTATAGTTTGAAAAGAATGGGAAAAATAGAGCACTCACTTGGGACAATCACATATGTTTCCACAATTACCATCATTCATATCACTGCAACAAGGTCTCTCACTTTTCGCATCACACCAACTTCCTGCAGGAGCCGCCCACGCATTTCCTTTTGGCTTTGTCTGCACGCTGAAAATTGAATGTAACATTATGGCACTATATAGGCACTGATATTTGAATATTTAATTTTTTCGCAATTTTGTGTGCTATGCAATTCAGAACTGAAAAATCGCCTTATGACGCCGTGTGTTTTGTAAAATATTTTGTATAGTTCGTCTTGTCTTCGTTTTTCAGGTTATCAACAAGATTGCATTATAAGTCTAATACGAGCAATATTATACATGTTAAGAGATATCTCTAAGGACTTAAATCAATCAAAAATTGTGCGACATTTTCAAAAACATTCAAATTATAGTATGAACAAAAGACAATTGAGTAAACATCACGTGCAATCTAGAGAACAAATTAGCAGTTTTTTTTTAAATCATGCGGTTGTTTAAATAAGAACTATTGGAACTGCATGGATATCGAGTATAGAGAAACAGAAGAATAAGAAGCGTAAAAGATATTTGCTAATTTTGGTGCCTGAGATTGACTTTTAAAACAGGCTTGTACTTAGGCCCAACTTAAAATAAGAAAACCGACTACTACTCTTTATGATTTCAGAAATGGAACTCATAACCGACAATGATGAAACTCAATGAAATAAGTCAATGAAGATGGGAAACCTGGTGGAATTACTGTTTTGCACAGTGAAATATGGGAAATAGCTAATAAATTTATATTTAAATTATTCATACTTCGACGTTTCGTTGTCATGCTCTTATCCGCCTTATTAATATCATACCACAGTAGTTTTTGTTTTGTTACGCGTCATTATATTATTGTGCTATTATAAAATATTAGTATACATTAGTTTCTTTAATTTGAAAATGAGTATAAAATTAATATGAATAGTACAATGTTTTTGACAAAGTATTTGACAGGCGATTGGCAGTTGGATGACTAAAAAAATTACAACACAATTTTTACTTTCCAACAAGTCTGATAATGTATGTTCGCTTAGAGATGTCGGCAGTGGCAACCATTATAAAATTATTAATATGGTGTGACAATTAACTTTTCTTTATTATTTTATTTACTACCAGTATAAAATTTATCTCGTTCCTCCTCTTTTATAATTTCTCTATGGTTGTGTATGGGTGCGTGTGAGCTTGTGTGAAATATTTCAATTATTTTAGGTGAGTGAACACGTACCACTTCTTCTTGGCAAAACCTTCCATCTTATATACATTATGTACGTTTTAAACCTTGTCTAATGTTTTGTTTGCTCTCCTGATTTCATAATCAGTTTTTATTTATTTGTTTTTATCAATCATTCTATTGTTATGCTGATTATGGAGTCGAAACAAACTTTTTCGTCGATACCGATACCTGTGAAAGCCGGCGATATCGATATTTGAAATTTCCAACATCACCGACCGCTCGGGTCGGGTCGGGTCGGGCTTCTCTATCGCTGACCTTTTTAAATGAGGCCTTTCGGCCGTGTTTTGGCCACGAGAGACTGTGGTCTGCTAAAAACAGAAGTTGCCTCATCAACACGACACATACTGTACTAAACTCTCGCAATGACAATTCAATGAACTCCTAAATAAAATATGAAATTTCGGGTTCGCTTCGGGCTCGGTCTGCAAATCCAGTTAATTAGTCGGGCTCGGGCTGGGTCGGGTTTAATACCCACGGGCCTGGGTCGGGCCAGGCTGGAATTTTTTGGCTCGATCTTACCTTTAATTCCCATATAAACAGACCGCATCATGTTTGAGTTAGTACACATTGCATAGCTTCTTTTCGAGGCCGAGGGCTACTTTCTGGGTACAGATTAAGCCGCGGGCTACCAATTCAATGTACACTTCTAAAAAGTCGCAGCTGTGTGGCCATCGTTAGTGTGCTAAGCGTTAGGTTCGCAGGTTAGAATTTCATGCGAGGATAGTTATGTGCAAGAGGATTGCTGGACCCATTGCTGCCGTTGGGATGGCCCGGGATAAATATGTAAATCCCATCCTATCCTGAGTTTATGTCAAAAATGTTGATTCACAAAGATAGGTTGAACGAAACAATGGTCTCGTAAAATAGAATTGCTGTATGATTTGAATCGCGAGCTTTTTCTACCCGTACTGCGCTGGATAGTTAGCGCGGTAGATTGCGTGACAAGCCGTGAAATATCTTTTCGTTTGCCGTCGCTACAATCGCCCCACAAATGAGACACGCGCAGGCTGTTTTCATGTTGGTAAAAATATATCCACCCCCAATCATCGTGAAAATGGTGGGTTTTTCATCGTTTTCTGCCATTTTTCTTTGGAATCAATAATTATATTATTGCTGCTCTACAAACCAACGGAAAAGAAAAAGCGCGGGTTCGTAGTAAGTGATATCAGTGTGATGTCATAATTGGAAGAGTGTTAATTGACCCGTCACATTACTGAGGGTCAAATAAAAATCAGGTTGATGGCTACAATAATTAATATAGTGCCATTCCCGATTCCCATATAAGTGTGATTTATACAAAAATAGCAGGAAAAAATTTAATCGATGTAGCTTACTCATAAGCGCCGTTATTAGGCTCAGTTTGGAACAGACCTGCGGGCGACTTATATGGTCTTCACGGGCGACTTGGTGCCCGCGGGCAACGCGTTGGTGACCCCTGGCTTGAAGTAATAGGAACAGTAAGAAGCCGCAGATATCTATACACTGATATCTAAACTTGTTAAAATCGCCGATATTTCATTAATATGTAACTAACATCAATGTAAAACAATGACCTTGAGTGTACAAGACAAACGAGATAAGATATTTGTCTGCGAACAATATTTACAGTCAGTAACGTCAGTGGTTCCAAAACTACTTTCATATGTGTTGGCAAATATCAATCGATTTCCTGCGAAATTAATTGTTATGTCGTCGAATTCAGAAATAAAACGATGAAAATCGTGAAAATTAATTTTGAGTGATTCGTGACTTGCGGATATCAGATATTAAGTGGCGTTGTGATAGTTTATATGCACAAAAATAGGTGCTCCCGAAGTATGTGTACCAAGATGACGCACAACCTGAACAAAGTATGTGTGCCAGGTTAGTTTTCAGTTTGTGCGTCATCTTGGTACACATACTTCCGGAACGCCCAAAAATGAGCTCACGTGTAGCGTTGATTAAATTTGTATGAAATTTAAAATCTCTTACTTGTGTAAATTAATGTTAAAAAAGTTCATTTTATTTTCAACGCGCTGTGATTTGTATTAATTATAGTGGTTGTGTCAGGAGTTTCAAAAGAAACTCGAATTAGCAAATAATATTTTTCGCTTTGAGTGACGAAATATTAGCACGAGAGTTTTCGTCAGTCAAAGAAAAATATATTCCTATAATATATATTTAAGATACATTCATTCGATGCGTTTCATATAGTTTTATTTATCACTTGATTTTGAACCTCGTACTATCAATTGTCAATAATCAGTATGAACGATGCGTATGGTACATATCCCAATTAATACGGAGATAAACCTCATTATCAGCGCTAATTATAATAAAGGATAAGATTTCGTGAAGACGAACGTCTGGCAGCGTTCATTGCGCTAACACAGAGATAATATTGTTATAAGCAGAAAGGAAGTCGGGGGCGGGAACAAAGAGATTGAATCTCGTGCAAAAAAAGGCCCGTCCGATGGAATGAGTCGCGTTTTTTCATCTCAACACTTCACCCTTCACCTTAAACGCGACGTTCTGAGCTTTCATTTTTAGTAAAAACACATCTATATTTTCAAGCGTATGTGACAGCAGTGAACAAACGCAAACAACAAATTGTTTTGTTATTTTGTTTGTGCTATATATATATATATATATCTTTCTTAAAATTAAAATTAAAACGCTACCCATGCAACATAATAATAGGCTGATTAGAACGGTACTCTCATTTTTTGATATATTTAAAGTGACCAAACTCGCGGTATTTTGATCACTTTGGGGTTTTTCCGACTGCGGCCCGCAAGGCCTCCTCAAATTTTTTTGCGTCCCTACAATCTCGCAACCTTGGACAACTCTGTTCTAATTAGTTCAAGTGCTATCACTCACTATACCGACTTTAATGAGTTTAGGGAGACAGTAAATGGGCGTGTCCGTTCCGTGTGCGTAACTATCTTATACTTCAAAACATTCTAGAGAATAATCAAATATATCGGTTTATCACTTATCGATTTTAATCGGTAAGTATGTTGATAGATATTTGTCTGTCGGTCTGTTATGATATGTCGGACCAGAAGCTTATTGATTTTTGATGAATTATGTCATATAATTAGCGAGGTATTAATTAATTAGTGATGGGACACATGGTGTCACTATGGAATAAGAGCGCTGTTTTGTGGGATCCCCTAACTTTCAATCGAAAAAAAAAAGTATTCTTTGACATTAATGCGAGGCAACTTAACGCGTTTCATAACATGTTGGACGCCATATATATGTACGAGTATATGTAGGTTTTACGATGTAGGGTCATAACTAAGCTTCGCACATTCTAGCGCCGTATTTGCTTGAAACATAAGATGGCGTGGCATTACAATTGTACGAGATTAATACAATATCTAGGAAAGTGAATGTACATCAAAACTATTTGAAAGCTCGCCAACGGGGATTTGAAACTATAATTCGTGATGAATGTATTTTCCAACAGTATCTGTTTCTAAATTACGTTGAAAATCTATTAACATTTCAATCCGATGCTATAATATCATAACCTCAGTTTTAGCAGAAAATTTATACAAATTATTTACTTGTTAAATCCACATTTGTTATCATCTCTCCATAATCGTGTATGTATTCCTCGTTTAATACGAAATTCAGTCAAAAAATAATCCAATTCTCTTACTTCTTGCAGTAATTTCTCATATTCTTCCTCATTTTTATTGAAACTATCAATCTTTTTCACCCACTGACCACTGCTCAAATTATACAAGATGTTTTCACAAAATGGGTTACGATATCTCAATCTATCTTGTTGAAGTGATAAGTGAATTTCAGAAATAGTCGACCACTTATAAGATGTGAATATTACACATAATACAATACCGAATGCACCGATTCCCATATAAACAGACCGCATGTTTGAGGTAGTATACTGTGCAAAGCCCGGAATATTACGAGCAGTAAGAAGCCGCTGTTACCTATACACTGATATTTGAATCGCCAATGTTAACGTTATTTCCCCATGTAACTAACACCAACGTATATAAATACATTGAGTGTAAGTGTAAGACAAACGGGGTGAACTATTTGTCTGCGAACATGATTTACAGTCAGTAACGTCAGTGGTTCCGAAACTACACTGTAAAAATTTTTGTTATTTTACAGCCATTTCTTTGTAAAAAATACGACCGTTTGGCAGTATTTTGGACGAGCAACTATTTATACGTACTTTTACATCATCGTGTTGTAATTTCACCGCTTGTACGATGTAAAATTACATATATGGTTGCATAATCATAAAACAAACATACGGTTGTTAAATATACAATGAATTATACGTAACATACAAAAACGGCTGTACTGAAAACAACTATCTCGCGGTTATGTTAAAATGAGTCCACTTGGTAGTAATCTAAATTCTAAAGCATAGAGTTTAGAAGAAAGTCTTCCACATATTATCAGCAAAATGCATGCCAATGAAAAATACATTGGTGCGACGAATTTGGTCCCAAATTGGTACGAATTTGGCTTCGCGTCATAAGGCGCAAGTCATACAATGCTACGTAAACCTGCGGCTTCATATGTCATCGCGACATAGAATTTATAGCTTACGATAAAAAAAATTTAATATTGCACTTAATATTATATCGAGTGGATAGATATTTTATTTTAGGCATCATGTAAACTGGTGATTAAACTGACAGCACTCAATATCAAACGGACAGGTCTACTTGCAGTCACGACTCCAACTACTGGTGAATCTAGAAGTTTTACGCTGTATCGCTATATCTTTTATCGGACCAAAGTATATGCAAATGTTCCGGTTAATATAATTTTGAATTGAGTGGCATATTTTTTTAATTTAACTATTTGCTTAAATGCTCCTAAGTTTTAGAAATATCTCAGATCGCAACGGATTCGAATTTTCTGACTCCGCCAAAGCCTGACGTACTTTCCCGCCAAAATGGCTGTTTAGTGCGGATTCCAGTTTCGCTAGGAAGCAGCTTGGCTTGGTTCGACTCTCAAAACAATTGAAGTGGCCTAGCCTTGTTTGAAAGTGTGAACCTGTATATTTTACACTATGATGCCTGAAGGTTGTAAAACAGAAAGTTTGGAGAAGGAAATACCGCTACCTAGGTTGTAAAATAAACTCTGGACCACTGGTGCTGTAGAGTCTACACTACTCAACTATTTTTACCGAAGGTCCGCATACAAAACTTTAAACATATTTGGGTCCGGACTTTCCAGAAATTATATTTCGGCATCCTTAAACACGCAATTCCTCGGCAGACTAATGATAAAATTGTTTGGTATGGCGTTATAGTCCTTTTCATATATATATTTTTAAATCTATAAAAATGATTTTATAAAAGGAAGCTTCAAAAGTGGGGCTAATGATCCAAAATAAAGAATTATACGCGGTCCGAATCGAATACCCGAAAGGTCCAGATTCGGACCGCGGTCCGCCAGTTGAGTAGCCCTGCTGTAGACTACCGGTAGATTTTCAGGTTTTGTTAATTTATGCCACATCTGTCATTATTAATCAATTTTGCATTAATTGGATTGGCCTGTTCTAGGGCCCGACCAATACTGCCTTTTTGAACCGATACCGATAGTTTTTTAAAACTAGGCCGATACCGATGTTTCCTCACCTACAAATATGGCTACAAGTAACAAACAACACTCTGAGAATATTGTGTTTTTCTTGCAAAAGAAATGAAATGTTGAACTCATGCAATTGTGTGCGTGGCAAGAAAGAACACTTATTATAAATTTGTAAGGGCAGGAAGCTTATGAATCTCAATAGCTCCAGTTCAACATTCTCAGATGTAGTTGAGCAGAGTTTTTCTGCATTGGCTCCAATGCTTTTCTGCATTGACTCCAATCATACTTGCTCTTGTGTTTTGCTTTGAGATGGCTCTACAAATTATACCCATCTTTTTTTTTTAAATCGGCGGAACCTTTCGACTTAATAATGATGAGCATATTTTACAAATTACGCCATCATTATGGCACACGAAGTATTCCCATACTTTGCTCTTACCGCTAGAACCAACCATCTGCAACATATCAATACAAAAAGTTAAATCGCGCCTTGAACGACAAAAGCGCAAGGGAATTCCAAGGCCGTGGAAAGTGGAAACGGCAAGAATTCTTTATTAATCAACGTATATTATTTGACACAAATAAGTCGTTCACGTGTTTCTCTCGCTTCAATTAGCAAGGCCACCACGCTCGCTTAAAGAGAGTTAAATCCCGTGCCATTCCTCCGTTTTGGATAAGAGAAACATAGTCAAAAGAATTCTTTATTAACCAACGTAAATTATTTGACACAAATAAGTGGCTCACGCGGTTCTCTTGCTTCAATTTGCAAGCCATCACGCTCGTATACGAAGTGTTGAATCCCGTGCCGCCGTACGTCCGTTTTGGATAAGAGAAACTTGTCAAAAGAATTCGTTATTAATCAACGTATATTATTTGACACAAATAAGAGGTTGGCGCGTTTCTCTCGCTTCAATTTGCAAGCCACCACGCTCGCAAACTCGCTTACGAAGTGTTAAATCCCGTGCCATACGTTCGTTTTTGGATAAGAGAAACTTAGTCAAAAGAATTGTTTATTAATCAACGTATATTATTTGACACAAATAAGAGGTTCACGCGTTTCTCTGCTTCAATTTGCAAGCCACCACGCTCGCTTACAAAGTGTTAAATCCCGTGCCATACGTCCGTTTTTGATAAGAGAGACAATCCAGAGCCGCCTTTTGATAAGTGAGAAATAAAAGTAACCAAGAAAAAGAGTATTAGGCAGAACCGCTCTCAATCAAACAAGCGATAAAACTGTTTTCCCAGCGAAATTTGGACACTTTGGCAGTCACGTGATTGGCCGATATATATCGGTAAAATTAGCCGATACCTATAGTTCGAAATTTGTGACAAACATGGCCGATATATCGGTCGGGCCCTGTGTTAACTACAGCACTAGATATCACATCTCTGCATTCAGACAATGAGCTATTGTAGGCCTACCGTACCATATTCTGTTATTTTACTCTTAATTGCTTATGTTCAATCTTTGTTACCGGTATTCTATTTATTGGAGTTCTAAACCGAGGTAGTCTACAGTTTACACCAATGCAGAAAGGTCTCTGATTTTTCGTATTTTCCAAAAGCAAAATTTCAGACAATTCTGATACGCCTGATGTTAGCCTAATCCTTAAAAAGCAGAAAAGGATTTACAATAGCCTACTAGCAGACTGGTAAAATTGTAATTTCAGTTACCCTGCGATTTGAAATGACTGATTCGAGATTTGGACTAATCTAAAATAAAATGCATCTGGAAAGACATCTCTAGTGAAACTGCAAGATTAGCTACTGCAGTAGACAGTCATGAACATTTCATGCCTATATCATTTTCATACATCTTCAATCTGCTGATTTTTTTCAGTTCGAAAGTGGAAAAACATATCCTGCCATTTTACCTCTGGAGCATTCGCATTTGGCCCTTATCAAGTCTGTCATTGTATCAACACTACAAACGAATTTCTGGAAAGATGAGGAACTGGTACCCTATTGGGGTTTCTTTTTTTCAATGGCAATGGTATGGACTTAACTGTTTAATAAATCAAAGCCTTGCTTATAAATATGAGCATTTCATATTACTGTATATAGTGAGCCTCGTTGCACTAAGTTGATTTTTGTGCAATGAATAGGCAAATAAATTCAAACATAGTTTTTTAACTTTTTATATAACAATTTTCATTGTTTGGAGAGATAATGATATATTTGCGAGCTTCAAAAAGGATCTATAATAAATTCAACTTTTTCTGAGCATTGAATATAGCATGAATCTACCACTTTGCTAATGGAATCATTTTACCCCAGCAGATCAAGTTATAACATATGTAAATATGTTGACTTCTCACTCAACTACTTGTTTGCATTTTATACCAGCAATGCCATTTTTTTCAGCCGAATTGCCAAGATAAACAGCCAGTGAAATCAAAAAGTGCAAGAAAAGGTGACAGGGGCCACTGCAATGTTGAATCTATTGGATGGTTTCCACCTATTTGAAGAGATGAAATGAACTATTTTGCTGGCGGAGACAATCACTTCTCGAGTGTATTTCATACTATTTCGTTGCTGATATTTGATCACATATTTTATTAAAAGTGATCTCTTTTCAATTGTATTTCATTTCTTCAGGTGGTGGCATGATGGTTAATCGAGTTACCTTGCGAATGTTGTTTAGTTTTACAACTTCTTCTTGTAGTTAAGATTAGCATCGCTATGGCTGTAAAAATCGGAGACATCCAACCCACTGCTTTAGCCTAGGCCCTAGTGCATACATTTGGTTGTAAAATTACAACCGCTTGCAACGATCCAATACATCTGAAGTTGTATAATGTATATGGTGTTTACCACGAAGTGCATGGCATCGCTGCTGCTCTGCGGTTGGTTGTAAATCGCCCTTAATATTTTTCAGTGTACTTTCATATGTGTCGCCAAATATCAATCCATTTCCTACGAAATGGATTGTTATGTGGCCGAATCTTGAAAACAACCACTTTAATTAATAAAATTACGGCGCGTTGAAAAAAAAATAGACTTTTCTAACATTAATTTAAACTAGTAAGAGTTTTACATTTCATGCACATTTAATCGATGCTATACGCAAGCTTATTCTTATACATATAAACGATTCGACGCCACTTAATATCTGATGTCCGCAAGTCACGAATCACTCAAAATTAATTTTCACGATTATTATCGTTTCATTCAGGAGGTTGAAAAGAATCTCGAATTAACATATAAAACTTTTCGCCTTTGAGTGACGGAATATTAGCACGAGAGTTTTCATCAGTCGAAAAAAAATTATCTTCCTGTGATATATATTTATGATACATTCTTTCGATGCGTTTCAATAATTTTATTTATCACTTGATTTTGAATCTTGTGCCATCGCTTGTCAATAATCAGCATGAACGATGCGCACGGCATATATCTCAATTAATACGGAGATAAACCACATTATCGGCCTTTCTATAAGGATATCGTGAAGACGAACGTCTGGCGGTGTTCAGTTCGTCAAGGCGATAACACAAAGATAATATTGTTATAAGCAGAAAATAAGCGGGGCTGGGAACAAGGAGATTGAATTGTCTCGTACAGAAAGGCCCGTCCGATGGAATGAGTCGCGGATATTCAAATTTTCACCTTTAACTCGACATTCTGAGCCTTCATGTTAGTAAAAGCACATCTCGGCCATGTGACAGCAGTGAACAAACGTAGATCTGAAGCAGAAACCGAAAACGATAATCAATAAATTGATTTTGTTTGTGATTTATATATTCTTCAAAATAAAAAAACGCTACCCATGCAACATAACAATAGGATAATTAGAACGGTACTCTCATTCCTTCATATATTTGAAGTAACTAAACTCGCGATATTGGATGGCACAAGGTTCAAAATCAAGTGATAAATAAAACTATATAAAACGCATCGGAAGAATGTATCTTAAATATATATATATATATATATATATATATCATAGGAATATATTTTTCTTCGACTGACAAAAACTCTCGTGCTAATATCTCGTCACTCAAAGACGAAAAGTATTGTTTGCTAATTCGAGTTTCTTTGATAAGCAGAAAGAAAGTGAGGGGGCAAGGAGATTGAATTGTATAGTGCAGAAAGTGCCCCTCCGGTGGAATGAGTCGCGTTTTTCATCTCAACTTCGCACCTTAAACTCGATGTTCTGTGCATTTTAGTAAAAACACATCTTTATTTCCAAGCGCCTATCTGATACTCTGATATGGATGAAGAATGTGTAAAGAAGGTCGACTACAATACAGAAGATCTCTATATCAATTGAATCTGTACATGGTTTGACAAAAAGTGTACGTTCAGTGGTACAGCCTCCAGATTTTGGTGTATTTATATTGAAAGAATGGAAAGAGGAGCTAAATATTGGTCAGATACCAAAGTACTGTTGTAAAACAAATCTTTTTTCAAGTCCCATGTTTTGACAGATTCAAAGGCTGCAAATTTATTTAACATTATTAATACAAAATTATAGAAAAGGCTATAACAAAAAAGGAGAGATGCCTGAAATAACTGCCAGTGAAACAAATAGGTCTGAAAAAGACATTCTAGAACAGTGGTTCTCAACCGGGGGTCCGCGGACCCTCGGTGGTCCTCGAAGCATTTCCAGGCTGCCTATGACAATGTGACAATAGCCTACAAAACAATTTTGATTTATCTCCCGTAGACCTATTGTGACAAATCGAGTTATGACATCACAATGATAAATACAAGAACACAGCTACAGTGATTTCAAAGGTATGTGGTCACTGGTCACGTTCTCATTTGAAGCGAAGTAGCTAGCTACAGCAAACAAAGGAGATTGTGTTGCTTTCTAAAACCTAACCAGCATGGCTAAATCAAGAAAGTCCTCGGAAAGTTACCTTGAAATGGGGTTTACCTCAGTGTCAGAGGGTGGCAAGGAAAAACTACAATGCGTTTTATGTTATGCTGTCCTCAGCAACTTTTTTCACAAATCACTTTCTCAGTTTTAGTGCGCCATTTTGCCGTCGGACCCGAAAGTATCGATGGAAGCATTACGTGTTATTGTTCCATTTGCCTCCGCTTACCTTTGTAAAAGTGGATTTTCTGCTCTCGTTTATATCAAATCGAAGGCTCGTAACCAACTAAACGTTGAAGACGATATGCGTCTATCGTTATCAAAAACACGACCACGTATTTCAAGACTTGCTTCTGATATGCAACAGCAGAAATCCCAATAAGTGTATTCGATTTGACAAAATAAATGAAAATGTACACTAGTTTGGTGTTATTTTTGACTTGGTTAAATCTGTATGGAACATTAAGTTGCTGTTTAAGCTATAAACTAAATTTCAAATAAAAAACTTTTGAGGGGTCCGCGACCGCTTTGAAAGCACCAGAAGGGTCCGCAAAGACAAAAAGGTTGAGAACCACTGTCTTAGAATAACTTGGGGCGCTATGTTGAAAATTTTGTTTGATTACATTGAATTTTTTCCAAAGAGGCAAGTAAAAATCCCAATAAAATGACAACAAATGTTCTTACCAGTCAATATTTCTAAAACTTTGTAATTCACATTGGAAATCAGTGGGATCCATTATCATGTTTGTGGGGCTGCGCCAGGACCTCAAGAAACAACATTAAAACTTTCAAACATGTGTAACTTCCTCTAAAACAGGGTGGTCCAAGATTGTCGGCACATTGACCAGTATTTGTCAGTTATCAATCTAAAACATGCAAAAACCACCAAAAATCTTACTAAATGCTGCAAAAGTCTTTCTATATTTACATTCAGTGTAAGTTTTCAAGCTCTTAATAGCGCAAAAACTGCTTCCGCAAATGTAAGTGCTTTCGAACGTCGATAAGATTTTCAATGCAAAATCTTAACTTTGGAAAATGCCCATTCCTCACAAGATTCTAAAAGGCCGTTTCAAATTATATTCTTCTGTCACCGACTTGCAAACATTGTGGTATTCTCCCTCGCACATCCAGTTAAAATCTGTTTGAGTTCGTCTGCTTTCTTTTCAAACTCAGGTTTACAAAATAACTGCAGATTGATTGATTACCAAATGTGAGGTACATGAGGGGAATTACTAAATTTTCTGACATATCGGCAGCATTTTTGTAATTCTGTTTAGGCTGGTTGCAAAAAACACCCGGCATAAATTATATTGTTAGGCCACCACATTATTATTTAGGTATCAGTCATAGCCAACCAGGCGAATAGAGTCCGGATTCGATTTTTAGTTTTCTATGATGCCAAAATTGTTAGCTCATATTCCCGACCGAAAAACATAGCTTGTTCCTGTTGAAATTCGTTTTATGCTTTCTTTTTCGCCATTAAAAAAATAATGTCTTGACCGAAATGAGTTTTATTCGAATTGAATTCACTTCGGGCATCCCAGACACCAACCGGTCATTTGGTAAGGATTATTGGTAAGGATTATCGACTGCTGGCCGATATTTGTAACAAGCCATTGTGTTGGGTTTTTCTAAAAAATCCTTGTACAGATAGGCAGATTCACTATGCAAGCCATTGTATGTTAATAGTGCAGATATCGTATCTCGTTTTCAATTGATTACCAGTTTTATGCTGAAACTGATTGGTGTAATACCGATATCATATATCAGTCCGGGAACGCTATATATCTGTCGCAAATTCTCTATCGGCCACAGCTGAGGACTGCACGCAACGCAAAATCGCGCTGTAGGAATGCCGTGCAGCCCAACTACAGCGTAGCGAAAGAACAATGTAACATAAATAAACAAAGACGAAAATAGCGTGGGCGAACTATATTCAGTACAACTATGTATTTACAATACACACATCTTATTGGGCCGGATTTATTAGATATTTCATAATTTGACTTGGTGAAAGTGCATTTCTAACTTCAGCAAACATGATGGCTTTGGTGCGAAGAAGTAAGTCAGGTCAAGTTTCTTTTCTCACAAATAAAAAATCAATCATATACAAATTTTGAAAAAAATTGACAATCACAAAGTTTTACTGTGAAATGGAAGCCGCAATAAACCAAAGGCGGTTAACAAGCAACGACACCCAAGGCTTGTATATAGAACTGAAATATCGAGAATTTAAGTTGCAGTTATTGTAGGTGAGTAACATATGGTTTTGTCGAATTCTATGTTGATAAGAAATATAGCAGAAAATATAAATGTATCAGAATACTATGAGTTTGAAAATATTAGCATCGGAAAGTAATTGAACAATGATAAAAATAAAATAGGAGATGAACAGCTTGGTATTTATTTAAACCACTGCAGCGTTTTTCAGAAGAAATTCAGCAAAAGAATCAAAAGAGTTAGCCTAATTTCAAAACAAGAGAGCGTTGCTAAAATATATGGACACGAAGACCAAAGTATTATGGGTATGCAATCTGTCACAGCAAGCTACCGGTATAGTAGTTAATGAGAAAAACGATGTTTTCATAACAATAAGATGACGTGAAATACAAAAAAAAAAATATACACACTGCGTGTCCAATAAGAACAGAGAACGCAATACTGTAATTGCCTTTAACCCAATGCAAAATTACGCCGACGAGTTCTCAGTAACTCGTCATCGGCTGACCCTACTAATTATCGGTTGATTTTTGCAAGGTCGTGTCTCGCAAACGAAGTCCACTTCATGTAAACGGTAAATGCCAAAAATTATACGGGATCAAATTCGCTACAAAAATCTTTCCATGATAACCCACTTTTATGATGAGGGCCTTGCGCTATTGTTTGTTTTATCATTACTTATCGATTTTAATCGGTAAGTATGTTGATAGGTATTTGTCGGTCTGTGCGTCTGTTTGTCTGTCTGTTAGATGCATGCGATATCTCACGATAGCGAGATTGAATCTGCTCCAGATTTTGCATGTGCATTCATCATGTGTCGGACCAGAAGCCTTATGTCGTATAATTAGCGAGTTATTAATTAATTAGTGATGGACACAAGGTGTCACTATGGAGTACGAGCGCTGTTTTGGGGGATCCCTTAACTTTCGATCGAGAAGTCTTCGGTCATTGAGCGATATTCTTGGTTATTTTATTGTCTGTTATGCTGATTATGGAGCCTGAAAAAGAAATAATATAGTAATTATACCCCCTCTGCCAGGAACGAACCACGATCTCCCGCGTAACAGGCGTTAATTCGGCTATAAGGACTGACCTAGCGAAGTTAGCCAAGGAACGATTTATTACAATAATGAAGCCAATGGTCCAAAGCTCGATGACTATGCCGTTTTACTGACCTGCGTATTCCTAGTATTTCATTGTCTTAAGCTTTGTGGTCATAAACTCCGTTTAGTTGATACCAAGCGGAATTGCTGCTTAAAATAAGTTGCTTGTGGTTTGTATTAAAATATCATATAAACGAAAGACATTGGTTTAGCACGACAGAGTCGATGTGTTCCTAGACCTAGATTATTCATCAAAAATAGATTAATTAGGGTTAAAAACAGGTCTCTGAGTCCCCCCCCCCCAAATTGAAAAACAAATATAAAAATAGGCTTCTGACTAATATTTTGATTTTTAATAACTACAAATTGGGAAATGATTGGTCTAACGAGGGTTGAAAATTAAGAGAAAAACAAATTTAGAAGCCCACAAAAATTGCTAAATTCATCTATAGATTGATTCTGTGTCTCAGTACAAAACCAATGCATGAAATTAAACGTCCAAAAGTGATTCACAAGCATCTTAATTTCCATGTAGGCTACAGAAAGCAGATGAAAGAAAATACGAAACATATGCAAAGACTAGTTGAAACTTCAAACTAATAAATAAAATGAATAAACAGAATGAAACATGAGATAAAGTTCCTTGGAGTTTTAATATTCTAAATATAAAGCAGCAAATACATCCGAGGACAATAAATAAAGTAAATTTTATGTATTCAGGAACATTAATCGGTAATTAACAATAAGTTTCTTTGTTGTGATTTTTATTTATTGTGAGGCTCCATAAATAATAGTCAACCTCTTCACGGGCTATACATAACACCAAAAGTTTGAGAACCCTTGGTACAGAGGATTTATTCTAGATTAGATATTGAGTAGCTTATACTTGGATTTATTTGAATAAGTAAACATTGACAAATTTTGTTCATCGTAAATATCCAGACTAATATATATAATCGAGATAATTGAGTAAAATCTGGACTTTCATAATATTTACTCCTAGGCCGTGATGTGCTCCATCATAACTGTGAACACTTGATGTAAGACCGGAAAAATCAAGTACAGGAATATTATGAGCATCGCAATATACTTTCATTTCCCTAGAAAATTTTTTACAAACAATATTACCGTTTGCTGCATGATATGCTTTTGGTTTTAATATTCCGTTAGAGTCAGGATACATAAAAATGATATGTGGCCATCGATGAATCTTTTTAAATACTTTCGAGGGTTTAACAGTCGTGTTGTTATAATCTTTGTAGAAATCATCCAAATGTTGAATCACGGGACTCAAAAATTTCTCAATAGTCACTTCAGATTTGCATCCGTCGTGTCCACCTTGACCAACCAGCAAAATTGAACCAACTTTTCCAGTCAAACTTTTCACTAAATTTAAAAACCCGTTTGCAGATGCATGATTGTACCAATTATTAAGAGTAACGAGTGGTGTCTGGCTTCCACAAAAAGGAGTTTTATCTAGAAGATTTTTGAGTATCTCTCCCCCGTCAATTCTACATTCTGTCCAATATAACTGGTCAGCGCCAACACATAGCTTGGTGAAATTTTCATCATACCGTGCCAGTAAAAATCCATACGTTGGATCGGACCTTAAAGTCAAAACAAAACCTCTTGCCATTTTTCTCACAAACGAATCACCAACAAAGTATATTTGAGAGAACCGATTGACAACTTCACAAGCTTGTGCTGCTGTGTAGTTTCGTCGTCGACATGAAGAATCAAATGGAATCCATTCACTTATTTCAGCGTGATATATCTTCCTGGTATCAACGCAACTGAAAGGTAATAATTACCAATTACATAATCATTAAGAACATGGCAGTAATAAACCGTTTGTAAACAAAAAGTTGAACAATCAACAAGAATTACAGCAGCAAAAACAATAACGATTATCATTGCGATCCATGTGGACCCTATTCAGGGATGTGCCAAACTTTTCTGCTGCCCGGGGCGAGTTTCTAATACTGATGTCCCCTATCCCTAACGTCAAAAATAATTTGGGGGATGGACAGATTATAGATGTCGTTATACATGAGAATAAATAAATTAAGGGTAAAGTAAGATAGAAACGTTTGTTTTATTAAATAAATATTCAAACTAAGCAGCAAACTCACATGTATGAGTTCAAACTTTTTTATTAACAAAAAGCAAGTCACTTATTTCTATGTCCATTCGCTACTTTGCTGGCAACAAATGTCTGAACGACAGTCTCTTTCACCTCGGCCGTCAGGAATTTCATTTCGATGCCAATCAAAGATATACTTGACAGGCGTTAATTTGACATCGAAGACTTCAAATATGTTTTTATCTGTTTCAACTTTGAGAAAGCTCATTCGCAACCAGCAATTGAGTAGCCGATTGTGGGAAATAAATATTATGCAATGCACAAAGCTGGAAAAATATGCCAAGCTCATCCAATGAAGCAAAGAAATCTTTAGCATTTCTTAGAAAAGCTATGTTTCCACTTCGGAAAACTTACGTAACAGTAGACGTTTTAGCAGTCGCACAGACAGATTTTCTGGCATGGGTGTAAACATTACCTCGTTTTTGCATGCTAATTGTTAGTTTTTGTTTGTGTTTTCAGAACGAATCTAATAACTCAATGATAAGGTGACAGCACATTTGCACCCACGTACATTTACACCCGTAAACTACACCCAGGACATTTGCACCTGCATACTTTTGCACCCACTGACATTTGTACCCATACATTTCCTCCCGTAGATTTTACCACCCGCATATAGATTGCACCCGTCGACATTAGCACACATACACATTTGCACCCACAAAAATCTGCAACCAGTACATTTGCACCCAAAAACATTTTACCCCATTACATCATTGCACCCATGTAGGTGCAAATGTTCATGGGTGTAAATGTACGCTGATTCAAATGTACATGGGTTCAAATGTCCGTGGGTTTAAATGTCAGCGGGTGCAAATGTACGTGGGTGCAAATATTCATGGGAGCAAATGTTCGGGGGTACAGATGTCCATGGGTGCAATGCAATCTGCATGCGGGTGCTAAAATATGCGGGTGCAATTGTTCTTGGGGACAAATTACAGATGCAAAGATATTGGAACCTAATATTTATACTATCTTCTCATATCGTTTTAATTGCGGTAATCAAAAAGTAGTCCAAAAATAGCTGTGATAGACAAGGCTACTTTTTTCTACCAGTACTTTTAAATGACAGGGTTGAATATTTTGAATTAAATGATTGTTCTAAACACATATATACCAGTTGAAGGCGCTAATTCGCGAAGCCACCCTCAAAGTAAGCACCAAAAATGTTGCAATTGTAAAATAGGATAGAAAGAATTTGTACGTGGTCAATGGTCGGGGAAACATCCGTTGTTTACTCACCATAAACATATTCAGTCACACAAGACTAAACACACCATATCAACTTTTAATTAAATAAAAACACATCGATAAAAACATGTGTAACAACGCCAACTCTACAGCTTGGTTCTGCTGCCCCCTATAACTTGCTGCCAGCCCCCCTCTAAGCACTGCACTGAGCCTATATGTGCAACTAGCATTTAAGCTTCGAGACGCGAGTAAATTTAATACTGGTCACCCGAGTCTGTCTGCTCCACGTGCTACTGGATTGGTTCAATGCAACTGCTATTTTTCATTGCCGCCGCCAGATGACGCTGTAAGCATCTTTCGCAAGTTGCGTTCTCCGGTGTTCAAGTAAGGCTGATGAGTGATGAACCATGGTTATAGAATTTTAGTTCAAATTTAATCGAATTAAATTGTATTCCTAATGACACACTTCTAGATAAAGTTGCAAATGAGAGTAACAATTGTGAATATAATAACGCTGGTCATGCCAAATGACATAATTCACAGAACAAAATTTATGTAGATGAGATTGAGCCGCAGAAAATCAGACCCGCACCAATTATTTTGACTGTTCGAATTTATATTAAAAGATAATGGTTATTCAAAACTAACCTAGAGTTGAAACAAAGTCGTGTTTTGCAATCCACTCATCAACTAATCTATACTATTTATTGAGGAACACAATAAAAAATATATAATAATAAATAAATAAATAGAGTTAGTCTAAACCCAAATGCTGCAGAGAACTACTGCTGACCGTTTTTTGTTTTGTTTATGGAGTCTTTTAGAGTGGGGGAGAGACGACCGATAAATCTAAACGAAAGTATAAAGAAGAAGAAGGAAAAAAAATAATAAAACCAGTCCAGTCAACGCCGAAATTGTAAAACTAACAAATTGCCGAATACTTTCCTGCTACTAAAAATTTGCTTTCTAATGCTTTGAAGCGTAGCGCGATCAAAATAACTTTTGCGATAATATTTCTTTCTATGGTGAAATACATGATAGCGAGTGATTGCAAACTAATTTTGATTCAAAAGTTAGATTTTATATATTTTTGCATTTCAATAGATATGAAAATTAGGTGTTTTAAAATAATTTTAAAGAAATAGGTAAACGAAAGTATCAAGAGACAACTCATAAGCATTTTCTCCCTATTTTAACAGGACAAATAACTAGAGAGCCAACCTGACCTATATTAACATTTTATTACATGTTAATGCGCCTTTTAATCTAATTTGAAGTTTTGAATTGAGCCATAAAATAAGTTCGACAGTCTCATTTTTTATTTTCAATCATCGTGATATACGTACCGATCATATTACAAAGTTTTACAGATTGAACAACATAAATGTTATATCTCAGAATTACTCGTTTCCGGATAGAAGTTGCACTAGAGCAGCGTTTCCCAAACTGTGTTCCGCGGAACACTAGTGTTCCGCGAGCATCTTCCAAGTGTTCCGTGGGAAAGGGATCAAAATTACGACTAAATTGGTCGTCATGGCTATCTCGGGATCGTGAAGTTGTCGCACAACTGGCTACCGTTCAAAATCGCGTCACGGTCGGCCTAAAGCGGACAAAGGCAAAAGGTCAACTCTTCTTTCTCAAGCTCTGCCTGGTTTTACTTAGAAATGCTGAAAAAATCACTCATGTTCGCTAAACTCGATTCAGCAGATAAACAAACTCCAGCTCGCAAAATTGCACCAAGTACTTCTAACTCCATTGTTAGGTAACATTAGAGGCAAACACTACGTAATAGAATGTAAAGAAAGAAACGACAAAGAAAGGTAAAATGAATTTATTGATTCAGATACACAGCAAAATATCCGCTGATTATTTGGTTTCTGCGAGACTAACTACTTATCCTTCTTCTATGCTTTTGTGCCGGTGGATCCGTAGGCATATATCGTAAGGATGCTGTAGCAAGAGTAGAGATAACAATCCTAAATGATTCAAGAGTCTTGCTGAACACTGATACAAATATGTTTCTGTAACGTTTCGTCTGACCAAGGTCAGACTTCTTTTTTATCATCATATTGCAGGTATGTTGAATACAATTTTGTTAGTTTTCGCGGCGCATTTGGCAACTCGCCGCGGCGCACAAGTACTGTAGTAGCGCATCTTTTGGGACCGCTGCATAACATCATTTTTCTTTACCAATTTTACCCTTTCATTTTTGGTGTTCCGCGAGGCGAGATAAAAAGCGCAAGTGTTCCGTGGCCAAAAAAGTTTGGGAAACGCTGCACTAGAGTATCATCCGGTAAATATCCCAAAGAGGCGGAGTGTCGAAAATTTAAAAAAATTATCATAGGCGACCTAAAAGTATTGTTTCCAATGCTAAAAGATGGAGGGACCTGGGGAGAGTTGAAGCTCAAGTACTAATTTGACTAACAACCAACTCTCTGCTGTAGAGTCCGAGTAAAAATGTAATTCCACTGTCAACATTTACACCAAAGACTTTGTATATTTTTCATCGAAATATCCTGTGTGGGCGGTTTAGTGCAACTCGTCTGTCACTGTAGCTTATTGACATCCCATCATATTATTTAAACAAGAGAGCAATGCTCAAATATATGGACACGCAGAACAATTCCCCAAAAATCATATGCGGTGACTTACCAGTACCTGTATCGGGGTACCGCGACGGTTTCATTCAAACCGCTATAAAACAAAAACCAATATTTCTAACCCGTTAATTTTTTCATCGTGGGTGCATTGGCATGTATTCTACACGCTAAACCTCGAATTAACTTTCTACGACTAAGGGTTAAAGCTATACAAACCACCAAAGTACGACACTCGGAAGACGTATTTGCGACTGTGTGCGACCACGGATTTCAAGCCTTGAACATCGTTTCTGCTGCGTCGAGACTATCGCATACGCTGCCATACAGCAATCAAACAGACAAAAACACGGTGGTCGCAAATTGGTTGACAAAGATATTATCGACGTATTAGGATAGGATTTACATATTTATCCCGGGGGAGAGAAGAAACTTTTGGAAATGGTTAAAAGAAACACAACTCTACCCACCTGCCAAGTTTTATCTTTCTATCTCTTATATTTGTATAGACTTTCAAGCTTTTGACAGCTACGAGTTAGTTCAGTGTCACCGCGCTGTGTAACGGTATCAAAAGTTCTCTCTTTAGAAGTCCCTGTCTTGTGACAGCGTGAAAACATTGGGCTTCTAATTGCATTTCTGACCATCATATATTTTAAGAACACGGTTATTTCGAACAAAACTCGTCAAATTATAAACAAATCACCACATCACAGCAATCAAACAGACAAAAACACGGTGGTCGCAAATTGGTTGACATGTTGGTTATAGCAAGTAACCCCCAAATGTACCCTATTTCATGTTAAAAATATGAAAACAAAGTTAATTTTTCCCAAAATTCAAACAAAGACTCGTAGGAATCAAATTACTCCACGTTTAAGAACATAACAAGTTTCGTCCGGCCATTATCAAATTGAAATTTATTATATCACGATATTTAAACACTAATTATATTTAAGTTCCCATCCGTACGATGTTCATAATTACCCATATTGAGATATAGGAGTTTCTGTTTATAACGTGAATCACGAGCTCACGTTTACAGTATTTAATTAGATTTATGATCAATGTATAAATACGACTCGATATCTTTCAATGTTAAGCTAGTCTGGATAAATCTAGAGATAAATAGAAGATATATATATCTTTCAATGTTAAGCTAGTCTGGATAAATCTAGAGATAAATATATGTTTTAAGATTTGTATTTTGTGTATCGTGGAAATCTGAGAATAAAATCAAACAGAGTTTTCTAATGTTTCTTCACTAACGTGGGCATTGAAGCTGAAGGGTGAATGGGCGACTGGCAGTTCTGAGACGGTCTATGAAATAGCAATATACGGTGACATCACATTCATTTACAAATTATATATGCTATATCAGAACTTCTCTATCTTTAGAAGTTCCTGTCTTGTGACAGCGTGAATTGAAATTGCAAGATGATCCGTTGGATACAAAATGGCGTCAGATGTCGCAGAACGTTTAATGACGTCATATCAAACAAAAACAAATCTCACAGAGCTAACAGAAATATTTGAAATAAATAAAAGTAATAGCCTTCCGGAGAAAAATTTAATCTTTAACCACTGAAAATTTCAAAGCAATTGGTCCAGTGATCAAAGAGAAAAGCGGTTTATTTAATAAAAAGTGTCAGAGAACAAGAACTAGAACAACAAGAACAACAAAACGATCGTTATATCCACTAAACGTGTCCAATAATATGTTCATTTGTTGTGTGTACTATCAGTAGCGTTATATTCAAATGGTATTGTGATGTAATATTAAATGTTTATAAACCACGTTCATTTTATACCCCTTTTCCTAACTGGGGAAGAATTTTTTTCAGGAGTGAATTTTTTCATTCCTGGGAACCACTGATCTAGGAGCTTATACGCTAGAGCAGTGGTTCTGATTCTCCGATGATTCCTGGCCGCCTTCTAAACATTCCAAACACTTGTGACCCATAATCTTCTACAAAAATATGTAACTTTGCTATCAACACGTTCACATAAATTATTTACGCCAAACATAACAACGCGTTACGTTCAAGGAATTAAACAATTTACAATCAATTTATTTTAAATTAATGTAGTCCGCGCGAATGGTACATAGTGAAGGCTTTTACTCGGGGCTCACAGAGAAACACTCCGCGTTCTCTAAGAGGGAACCAGTTTGAGAAATTCTGCACCAGATTGTGGAATAAAAACTAGAAGAATAAATAATTGGTTCTTATCCATTTTTAAACGGAGTATTGATTACCCTTTCAAATTACTATGTCTGAACATGCCTTAATACAAGTTATAGTTTGAAAAGAATGGAAAAAATAAAGCACTCACTTGGGACAATCACATATGCTTCCACAACTACCATCATTCATGTCACTGCAACAAGGTCTCTCACTTTTCGCATCACACCAACTTCCTGCAGGAGCCGCCCACGCATTTCCTTTTGGCTTTGTCTGCACGCTGAAAATTGGATGTAACATTATGGCACTATACATGTACTGATATTTAAATATTTAATTTTTTTGCAATTTTGTGTGCTATGCTCAGAGGAGCCACAAGACGGTAATTCAGAACTCAAAAATCGCCCTATGACGCCGTGTGTTTTGTAAAATAGTTTGTTATATCTTCGTGTTTCAGGTTATCAACAAGATTGCATTATAAGTCTAACATGAGCAATATTATACATGTTAAGTGATATCTCTAAGGACTTAAATCTATCAAAAATTGTGCGACATTTTCAAAAACATTCAAAATATGACATGGACAAAAGACAATTGAGTAAACATCACGTGCAATCTAGAAAATAAATTAGCAGTTTTTTTTATAAAATCATGCGGTTGTTTAAATAAGAACTATTGGAACTGCTGAGTGCATGGATATCGATTATGGAGAAACAGATAAATAAGAAGCGCAAAAGATGTTTGCTAATTTTGGTGCCTGAGATTGACTTTTGAAACAGGCTCGTACTTAGGCCCAACTTAAAATAAGAAAACCGACTACTACTCTTTATGATTTCAGAAATGGACCTCATAACCAACAATGATGGAACTCAATGAAATAGGTCAATGAAGATGGGAAACCTGGTGGAATTACTGTTTTGACAGTGAAATATGGGAAATAGCTAATAAATTTCTATTTAAATTATTCATACTTCAACTTTTCGTTGTCATGCTCTTATGTGCTTTATTAATATCATACCACAGTAGTTTTTGTTTTGTTACGCGTTATTATATTATTGTGCTATTATAAAATAATAGTATACATTAGTTTCTTTAATTTGAAAATGAGTATAAAATTAATATGAATAGTACAACGTTTTTGACAAAGTATTTGACAGGCGATTGGCAGTTGGATGGCTCAGAAAATTACAACACAATTTTTACTTTGCAACAAGTCTGGTAATGTATGTTCGCTTATCTGGTGTGAGGCTGTCCGAAATCACCTTTTTCGCCGATTCCGATGCCTATGAGAAGACGCCGATACACCAATATTTAAAATTACCGATATCACCGATATTTCAATAATATGTACCTAACATCAATGTATATACAATGCTTTTGGGTGTAAAAGACGAACGGGATAAAATATTTGTCTGCGAATAATATTTACAACGAACATTATTTCAATTAGCTAGAAGAACAGATATCCCAAAACACAAGAACGCGCTACTTCAAAGTTCAAATCCGTGTTTGTATTTCTGATACATTAATAGTGTGTTACTGTAGACTCACTGGCACTACAAACGGTTTATTAGAATACTTGAATTAATTACACAATAAAATGCATATTGACTTTGTACTCATGGCTAAATTCTCAGCCAAATTATACAATACGATTCAGTGTGCACAGGTGCAAGGAATCGCTGTGCTGGGTTAGAAAAATCATAATGAGCTGGCTTCTATACACGGTGAAATACATATACTCAAATGCAGTGGTTTTCCAACCTTTCTACCCTGGCGAAAAATAATAACATATTATAGTAACAAAGTCGTTGGTAACTTGGCATCAGGCTCAAAATCTGCTGTGCATCGCCTGGAAAAGATCTCTGCGGCCCATGCTTTTGTTGCGCGTCTCGTCTCGACCACCTGCAGGGTCAAAACAATATCTTAGTGGATGTCAAGGCGGAGCCCCGGAATATTTTCTAGTTTAAACAAAGAAATATTCATAACCTTTTATTTATTTTTTATTTTTGTAACTCAACGGATCATGACGACAAGTCTGGAATCCAGCCCAATGCCTTCATACCCAGAGTACGCCGGCGGAGGTTTTATAGATCATTGATTATTAATATTTATGATACACCTTAGTATATATCATGTAATGGGATAGACTTTCTTTCATCACGCCCGCTGTAAGTGGGATGGTATTATCGAAATGTGTTTCAACTAGGCGCATTCATAGTTACTAATTTCACATTTGGATGGTCATATTAATCATGCAGAACAGAAAAAACACGTGTTTCTATCTACAGGTACTGAATCTAGTGAGATTTGACGAAGCGCTTTTGCGATGAATCGGAACTAAAGGGCGAAAAGTAATCGTGATTACTCGGCGCCAAGACGTCGCCGGGCCATTTAATACCGCACTTATCAAATCACATGACGGCGGACAAAGTGACTATAACACAAGTGAGGACATTCATTGATAACGTTATAAGCGCTTGTGTGACGTCACACCCGCCATTTTGTGTCCAGAGTTTTATCGCTGTATGATCCCAACTAAGTGATTTAAACCTGCGATCGTTAAACAGTTGAATAAAAAATAACGATGCTCAATAATTCGGACCTAACTTTTGCAGCATCAAAACGAATGAACATTCTTCTGAAAAATTAATTTTCCGCAGATGTTTCTCAGATAACTCGCCTCGGCGGTATGGTCAGCATATACGAGGTTGAGGTTACGGTCATCCAACATCCAAACTCGATAAATCAACACCCAATAAGACCAAACATATCAAACAAAGAGATACACATTCTATTTTAAAAGTTCCTGATGCTAGTATCGCTAATTGGACAAAACTTATTTTAACAAACTGACAGAACTACAATACAAATTACACTACAGAAACTATTTGTACATGATAAAATTTTCAACACAGTGTATATCGCCAAAATATACTACATGCATGGAATGGAGGATAACGGTATATTACAAGGTTACAAGAACATCTAATAATCTGGAGTGTATAAAATAATATATATTATCTATGTGACTTGAGCTCTTGCTGCAGTTTTACTAGCATACTGTTTTTCAATAATTTTATTTGCCACCTCTTTTGCGTGAATATTTCCCATTATATTAAGAAAACGTTTCAAAATTTTAAAAGCGACATTGGAGAAAGATGCGAAATATATTTCAAGCAGTCAATTTTATCTGTCACAAAAGTAACTTGGCGAACATATATTATGAAAAGCATTAATATTGACGCGAAATATAGTTCTACTTCGCGCAAAAATATGATTGCATTTTTGGATGGGTGGCATAAATATTGGGTAAAGCCAGTGGTGGGATTCAGCCGGTTCGCACCGGTTCTATAGAACCGTCTCACGGCAAACCGGTTAGCATTACTGGTTACTGTCAATGTTCTGTTTGTAACAAAACCGGCTGAAAAATATAACTTTTTGTGAAGGAAGCGGCTGACAAAAAAATTGAATCCCACCACTGGGTAAAATTTTTCTATCAATTTTTATCGTGTGTGTAAGACTGAAAAGAGTAAGTGACGATTGTGGTAACGATTGATTAAACATAGATAATATTTCTTAAAAAACAAGGTCCATGAATGATATATACGTTTGGTATCTGATTATGGGACGTAACTAAATGGCCAAACCAAAAAATTTGGACCCCGCGTCTTCATAGGGTTCTGCCGGAAACATGAAGGCTAATTTTTTATTGTTGGATAAATTTAATTACAATTAAGTTTTATCAACGAGAATGTGGAAGACATGATGGCGTCGCTAGATCACCTTGTAAATATTTCACATTTCTCGACGCAAAGGAATCGAAATATCTTGCCAATACAGTAAGTTGATAAATGCTGTAACACCAGTTGCGGCGACTGGTCTTCAAATTTTGTACGTTATAATGTACAAGATGTACGTTTCAATAAAATTCATTAGGCGCACAATGGGCTAGTCATGAGACCGTTTACATTCTATAATTTTAGGAGCACCTGTTGCAACAGCTCGTTAAATCAAGAAAAATTGTCCCGAGAAAATTCGGACATTCAATCATCTTCTGGAAAGATTAATGTAAAACGCAGGCTTTAAACGTTCGGCATGGTGTGAACAGGTATCACAATACCAGTTCAAGTAATATCTGCTTTAAACGTATGTTTTGGATCAGGAGTCTCCAACTCAAAATACGTCACGGGCCACTTTTTGAAATTTATCAAAGACGCGGGCCACAAACCAGCAAATTAGGTACAAAATTGATACACAAAAAATAACAAATGAAGTATGAATATATTTGTTGAAATTATACTTGAATCTTACACAAAACATATTCATTTACCCGTGCTGGATATTTGGCAGCGTTTTGTAGCGATGTTTGGCCTTTTTTTGCGTCGGTTTGCTAGTCTTAAGACAGCATGCAAACGCTCGTCTGTTAGTCGTGAGCAAAAAGCTGATTTGTTAAACTTTAATTGTTGAATCAAAAATAATGCTGCTATTACTTCACAGGCCTTCAACATACACTTTAATAAAGCTTCCTTCGACGAAAGAACGCGACTATTTCGCAATCATCTCAATTATGGAAAAGCTTGCTTTCACTGAAGCTTCACAAGTTTTGTTTTGACTAAAAAAAAATTCTCTGTTTCATCAGTGAAAATTTCAATTGCGATGCCTTTTCGTGACGAATTGTTTCAGTATAGACATAGTTTTTTCCCCCTATGTAATGAGTCGTAATGTCATCGAATGTTGTACTCCTTTCGACCAGCAATAATTGCGCAATATATGAGACACTGAACATTGTTATCATAATTTAATACAAAATACAGATCTTCCCACTTTTTTTGAAATATTCTGTGCTCTTCCGAACATTTACGCTTCTTGGACTTGCGTGTGGGTTTACTTTATAAAAAGTTTATACTAATCTAGATTTGCTTTAACTGCACATATGCAGAATTAATGATTCATAACTTCACACTTCAATAATCTAACCGAAACTTGTTCATTTCGTCACAATGAAAACGCGAAATGAAATGATTGAATTTACAATTTAATTATTACAATAGAATAAAATATAAAAGTGTTAAAGTGGAACAACAGTTGGAAATTTTTGTTTTACTATTTACAGTTTGTCGTACGGGACTCTTGATGTTAAATAACACTATAAAACACATAGTTGACATTGTACTATTTTAGTTTTTTCTGGAAAAACCATGACGCCGGCCTAAAACTTAAAATTGCCAATATAGCCCAAATTTTTCTATAGTACGTAACTAACGAAAATGTAATACAATGCCCCTGAGTTTACAAGACAAACGTGAAAAAATATTTGTCTGCGAACAATATTTACAGTCAGTAACGTCAGTGGTTCCAAAACTACTTTCATTTGTGTCGCCAAATATCAATCCATTTCATACGAAATTGATTGTTATGTGGCCGAATTTTGAAAACAACTACTCGTACTTTAATTAATAAAATTACGGCGCGTTAAAAAGAAAAATAGACTTTTTCAACATTAATTTGAACTAGTAAGAGTTTTACATTTCATGCACATTTAATCGATGCTACACGCAAGCTTATTCTTTTGCATATTAACGATTACAACGCCACTTAATATCTGATATCCGCAAGTCACGAATCACTCAAAATTAATTTTCACGATTATTATCGTTTTATTCAGGAGGTTGAAAAGAATCTCGAATTAACATATAAAACTTCTCGCCTTCGAGCGACGGAATATTAGCACTAGAGTTTTCATCAGTCGAAAAAAATTATCTTCCTGTGATATCTATATATATTTAAGATACATTCTTTCGATGCGTTTCAATAATTTGGATTATCACTTGATTTTGAACCATGTCAATAATAATATCGCTTGTCAATAATCAGCATGAACGATGCGAATGGTACATGTCTCAATTAATACGGAGATAAACTTCATTATCAGCCTTTCTATAAGGATATCGTGAAGGCGAACGTCTGGCGGTGTTCAGTTCGTCAAGGCGATAACACAGAGATAATATTGTTATAAGCAGAAAATAAGTGGGGGCTGGGAACGAGGAGATTGAATTGTCTCGTACAGAAAAGGCCCGGCCTATGGAATGAGTCGCGGTTTTTCAACTTTTCACCCTAAACGCGACATTCTGAACCTTCATGTTAGTAAAAACACATCTCGGTCATGTGACAGCAGTGAACAAACGTAGATCTGAAGCAGAAACCGAAAACAGTAAACAATAAATTGTTTTTGTTATTTTGTTTGGGATTTATATATTCTTCAAAATGAAAAACGCTACCCATGCAACATAACAATAGGATAATTAGAACGATACTCTCATTCCTTCATATATTTAAAGTAACTAAACTTGATTTTGATCACTCTGGAGTTTTCCTGATTGCGGCCCGTAAGGCCTCCTCAAAATGTTTTGCGGCCCTACAATCTCGCAGACTTGGACCACTCTGCTCTAATTAATTCAAGTGCAACCACCTACTATACGAACTGTAATGAGTTTAGGGAGCCAGTAAATGGACGTGCCCGTTCCATGAGCGTAACTATCTTATACTTCAAAACATTCTAGAGAATATCAAATATATCGGATTAATTTTAGCCGTTACCGATATCGACAAAATGACCGATACATTTCTATTCTGAGAGCCTACATTACAATATTTATACGAAATATCTCAACGGTTTATTTGATTTAACGATCGAAAACTCCGAATTTTCATGCTGAAATCCAAGGCCTACTTTGTGGTTAGAGAATACATTGATGTGACAAAGGGTAATATTGCATGCAAGAAAGAAGATAAGTAAGATTGCTCACAAGATCTTAGCCAGCCCAAAAGTGTTATTTTTAGTGAAAATGACTTAATATAACGCTTACTCGTGCCATTGGCTCCGAATTGGGCTTGATGAAAGAAACCACTGATATCTTACAATATCTTAACGAATCTTCAGGCTTGTTCATGGGACATATATTTCTGTCCCATTCCCATCCCATCCCATAGCAATTATGCCTGTCCCATCCCATCCCATGGGATTCCCATTGTAATAAAATTCAATAAAAATTGTTAAATTTAGGTTTAGCGTCTACTAAATAGGACTACATGTACGAAGAGACATGCAAAACAACAAAATTTACGGACATTGTTAACTTTATATTCATAACTATCATACATGTGTTCATCAGCCCTTCATGAAGTATATTTTTGATGCTGGATATATTTTGCTTTTTATAACTAACAATACAGCTATGGTCAAATATATGGACACGAAATCCATAACGAAATGTTTTATCATCATTACTCAAAAATTATACGGTTTTCTTGTCCCATGGGAAGTACAAATGTCCGCTGTCCCATCCCATCCCATGGGACGTTTCTCATGGGAATCCCATTGCCATGGACAAGCCTATGAATCTCCCCACAGACTTACTTCGCTGTCGAAATGAACCCATGTATACAAGCGCCCCTCAGCATTTCAATCCAAACCCATAATATCATAACTACAGTTTTAGTATAGAAACTTCTAAATCTGGCTGAATCATTTTTGTAACGTAAAGTGAACATCAAAATAAATTATCAGCAAAACACTTTTTAGATAATGCCAACGGTTTTCAACATTTTTGCGGGTATTTTTCGTATACTTCGGGTATAATAATGATGAAATAAGTTGATTGAAACAAACTATTTATATACTTGCTAAATCCACATTTGTTGTCATCTCTCCATAGTCGTGTATGTATTCCTCGTTTTATACGAAATTCAGTCAAGGAATAATCCAATTCTCTTTCTTCTTTCAGTAATTTCTTGTATTCCTCTTCATTTTTATTAAAACTATAAATCCTTTTCACCCACTGACCATTGCTCAAGTTATATAAGATGTTTTCACAAAACGGGTTACGATATCTCAACTTGTCTGATGTTGTGTTCAGATCGCTCGTGTAACTTTGATGATGTGATAAGTGAATTTCAGAAATAGCCGACCACTTATAAGATGCGTATATTACACATAATACGATACTGAATGTACCAATTCCCATATAAACAGACCGCATGTTTGTGGTAGTACGCATTGCATAGCCTGAAGTAATAAGAGCAGTAAGGTTTTCGTACAAAACTGCTATTTCGTTTCTTCTTTATTTCATCAACATAATTCTCAGACTTAAATACCAGGATAAGAAAATACGTACATTTATTCAAACCGAAAGTTGGTTTTATTTCAGGCTGACCAAGGCTATAGCCTACACGTTTTCGCTTCGGATGGATGGATGGATTTACACGGTTGATTTAGTATTGGCCAATGAACGAAACAGACCCCTTCTCACCAAGGTGCCTATTATCTTAATCATAATTCCAAAAGTCTTATATTTAATAAGATATTTTCTTTATTATACCAAATCGATAACTGTCCGTACACAAAACAGTGTCGTTCTGGCGTGATCCATAGCTGGTTAGAATAATTTCCGCTAACGCTGGGTTTTTTTTTCTTAAAAGAATAAACAATAACAATTTTATCACAATTAATATGATAATGGGTCTCTCTTGTTTGGCATATTAGAAGCTAATTATAAAAAAGGATTAGATATCGTGAAGACGAACGTCTTGCGGTGTTCAGAGCGTTAAAGCACAAACAAACAACCGATCGATCTATCAAGCCTAGCCTGGCCTGATTCGATGTGGTGACTTCTCAAACGGAAAATTTCCAAAACGCTTCAACGACACGAGCTAACGAAAAGCGTTTAGTATCATATGAAAGAGAAAACCAATGTGCAGTCAACTAGATAGTCACATTTGCGCTTTTCAATAGCTATACACGTCCAACAGATGATAGAATGAGAGAGTGTAAATATTTTTGTTATTTTTTGACGTTACGAGAGACCTCTTGAAAGAGGTGTTTTAGTTTACGGTCCTCCAGTGACATCTAGCGTATAGTACTCTAAAAGACCTTTCCAATGGTATATAATTATTGTATATTGGGTAAATTTTGGGGGTCGTATGACATTAATAAAAATGTATTCAAAATTGGGCTCGATTGGGCGTCTGAATCAGGTTAAGGCGATAACGCAGAGATAATATTTTGATAAGCAGAAAGGAAGTGAGCGGGGGCAAGGAGATTGAATTGTATTGTGCAGAAACGCCCCTTCGATGGAATGAGTCGCGTTTTTCATCTCAACTTCGCACCTTAAACTCGACGTTCTGTGCCCTCATTTTAGTAAAAACACATCTCTATTTCCAGCGTAGGTCATGTGACAGCAGTGAAAAAGCCCAATAAATTGTTTTGTTATTTTGTTTGTGCTTTATATATTTCCTTTAAAATAAAATAAAAACGCCACCAATGCTACATAACAGTAGGCTGTTTAGAACGATACTCTCATTCTTTGATAGATTTCAAATAACTAAACTCGCACTATTTTGATCACTTTAGGGTTTTCCTAACTGCGGCCCGCAAGGACTCCTCGATTTTTTTGCGGCCCTACAATATCGCAACCTCGGACGACTCTGCTCTAATATGTTCAAGTGCAATCGCTTACTATACCAGCTGTAATGAGTTCAGGGAGCCAGTAAATGGGCGTGTCCGTTCCACGAGCATAACTATCTTATACTTCAAAACATTCTAGAGAACATCAAATATATCAGAAAAATCGGTTCATTTTTAGCCGATACCGATATCGACAAAAATGACTGATACCTTTCTAATCTGGTAGCCTACAATACAATAATTATGCAAAATATCTCAACGATTTATTACAGACTTGAATCATTTCAACCGAAAATTAGTTTTATTTCAGGCTGACCACGGCTGTAGCCTTAACGTTTCCACCTCGGATAGACTTATATCTACACGGTTGATTTCGTATTGTCAATGGACGAAACAGGCCCCTATTTATCAAGGTGCCTATTATCTTATTCATAATTCCAAAAGTCTTATATGTAATAAGATATTTACTTTATTATACTAAATCGATCACTGTCCGTACATATAACAGTGTCGTTCTGGCGTGATCCCTAGCTAGTCAGAATAATTTCCGAAATTTTTTTATTTTCAAAATAATGGACAATAACAATTTTATCGTGGTGAATATGATAACTTCCTATCAATAACAAATATTTGAATATCATTTAAGCTGCTTGAAAATTAAACTATGTCGAGCTATATTGAGTATATATCAGTTATATAAAACATGCTGCTGTCGATCGCGCTCTTGTACGAATATTTTCGCGATGTGCTAAAGGTAAAAACAGGACCTCTCTTGTTTGGCATACCAGAAGGAACATACATACACACCATCATACAAAACGTAAATGCCCAAGTGTGTTACTCATGGATCTTTTTTTGGCTTCCTTTGCTAATTTTTTATAGTATTTCTGTGAACATAAAGTGATAAAAATTTGTTTGGCACACCAGAACAAACAAATGGCCAGACCATTTAACAAATCGTAAATTGCTTTGTGTGTTTCCATGGATCTTGTTATATTTGGCTTTATTTGCTGATTTGTTATAGCTTTTCTGTAAACAGAAAGTGGATATTAAATGTGGTGTTAACAGTTAAAATCCTGAACCTATCTTGTTTGGAATATTTGAAAGAACGAAAATATCATCATAAAAATCGTAATTTTGCTTTGCGTATTTCCAGTGGATCTTATTATATTCTGATTATGCGCAAATTTTTTCATTGTATTTCTGTTTTTAATCGAAGTGAATTCATGGGTCCAAGTTGCTATTGAATAAAAATTGTGGTTATTTACTTATATAAGTTTTCTTCATGTGACCCAAGCCTGGCTTCGATCCCATTCAATATTATCTCAGTTGTTTTTTTATAAAATGCTTAATGGATTTTGGATCAGACGAACGATATTATTTTTGAATTAGACGAACGATGATACGAATTGGAAGGAACAATGGTTCAAAAATTGTTAAAGAATAAGATACGCAGTTGTCCTGATGTATATAGGTACTCATAGTGATAAAATGTGCATTATTTATTGCACATGGTGTGAACGTTTTGCTAAATTGGCGGTGTGCATCTTCTTGTTGTTATTGTTGTGCGATGTCGTCATCATAAATAAAAAATTGCGGACTTAGTGGCGGTTCCGCGTACGTTGCTATCTTATCTGGTCAGACGAAGTTGTGAAGACTAGCGTGACAGATTGCATACCCGTATAAATTATAAACTTTTGTATCTACTTTGTTTATTAGAACTCCCAAATTTACCCAATTCGTGTGAAAATAGTGAAAAATAATAATAATAATAGGTTTTTGAAAAACCCCTTCTAATAATGTTAAAATATCACAAAACCGTAATTGACATAAAATAAATGTGACGTACAATTATTTTAAGAGTTGTTGCTCAGAAAACTTAATACTTGTAACGGTGGAAAAGTATTTCTAATCACGTTTCAACAGGTGGAATATAAATTGAAATAAATTTTTGGTTGGTACCAAAACATTTTACTTTACAAAATTAGATTTCACGAGATTCTCAATTGCAATTTTAGAATGAATTAATTTTGTTTGTCACTAATTTCACATGAATTGGGTTGATTTACATGACTTCGGTAATACTTGGCTGCTCGATCAACCTCTCATGAAAACCAATAAACAGGATCAGGGTGATAAAACTTATAGTCATAGACCATGGCCTGATAAGGATTCAAAGATATATCTTAGTCTAGTCTAGCAGACTAGTCGAATGACATTGATTATATCGTACATATTGAAAGAAATACTTTAACATTATTTTCTTTTCATATCAAGTGCTTTACCATGTGAAATAATATGAATGTATATCATAATAGCATACCTCATGTTTGGATATCTCAGGAATGAATATAAATTGAGTTTTGGAGAAACCGCTTCTAATAATGTTCCATTATCGCAACGAAATTGCCAGAAAATGAATATGTCGTGAAAATTTTGTTCTTACTTTTTATATTCGCATGCTCTGTAAAAGGTAAATATTTTCTTCTCAAGGTTAATCAGTGTATACAATATATTCTGAATGTATTGGAAACTGCAACAAAGCTAATATATAAGGTGTTTCAATTGACTATTCTGTACTGCAGGTGGCTATCTTCAGGTCGAAACTTGAGTTTACGAACTTATGTCAATAAATTCTGGGTAATTCTGTACGATTTGTATCGACCAATCAACAATTTAAGTAGATAGATATCATTTCTAGGGATGTATGTTCGAATATTTTATTTTCGTATCGAATTGCGAATCAGTATGTTCCGATTCGAATATTTCCGCATCTGATTCTATTTATTACGATATTATATTATCGTTAGCTTTTTTAAATTTGGAATGACGACAGGATAAATTGCCATTACAAAATATTAAGGAACTAAAGAATGACTAAAGTTGATAGAAAAAATACATTCAATGAAAGCATCAAATAGGCTACCCAATATACTAAGGCGGATATGATTTACTTTTGTTACATGCCCTCAGATACATATATATATTTTTTAGGTTTAGGCTGTTAATGGGCGCTAGATGCTTCCAGTCACTTCTTTCCTCCTGTTTTTATATTGGCCTTTGCTGCTGTCTTGGTTTCTTTCGCATTCCCGGACTTTTTGGTAGTTTCCTTGATGACTCCAACAGCAACAGTCTGTCGCATGTCACGGACGGCGAAACGACCAAAGGAGGATAATTCTGAACGCTCCGACATACATTGGTTACAAAAATATATAATTTTCGTTTGCAAGCAATACCTGACGTATAGTGATCGTTTCCTTCTATGATTGATCATTAACATTCATCTAAATCAGCGTCTCACAAAGAGGGCCAAAACGCTTACTGGGGGCGTTCGCGATAACTGTGGGGGTGCTGACTGCGAATCAGGCAATTGTGGGGCACTGGCTGTCAGATTGGGCAATTATGGGGCGCTGCCAATAAATCGGGCAATTACAAGAAATTCACTAATATTTGACTTTTTTATTCATTCCAGTTTTATATTTTGGTTTGGCCTAGTTTACTTACCTATTTGGTGTTTTGAATTTCCCGTTTAACGAAAATTTAGCCAATATGGTAGAATCTTCATTGAATCATAGTGAAAAAAAGTAAAACATAGAATACTGATAAAAGTCAGGCTTTGAGGCACATTTAAGAGACCCGATATCCCTCTAGTTCAGAGTTCCCCAAACTAAAATATAAAATAGAAATAAAACGGATCAAACTGAACTACCATGCTGGTGTGCTCACACTTCAGTTTACATAATGATAACTTCTAGTCAACTTCAAGTCAGATTTTTGAATGACAAATTATCTTTGCATCGTTTTGGCTATTCAATTAAAAAATTAGTGTTCTTTCCAGGAACCAAATGGTTCTTAAACTTTCATGATCCACAGTCACCTTGCCCTGCAATGAAAAAAAACTTGGGTTTTGTTTTGTATTTGACGGATTTTCATCAGTTATTTTATTCGTCACACTTTTTATTGGTCTGATAGTCCAAGTTTGTTGGTTTTCAGTCCTTCCTAACAGTGCTCTTAAATTAAACTTCAATTTTATCTTCAATGCTGAATAATATTTAATTTCTCCATCTTGCTATATCCATCATTTTTATTTTAAATGGCTACCAACAATAGACACAAGTGAATATTTGACACCAGACATAATAAATGAGTTGAAACATACTGATATGGATGGGCAATAAATGTCGACCCCAATACAGAAGAGCACTCTGCACGTGGGTTAAAAAAAAGTGTACGTTCGGATGTTCATATTTCATATTTTAGTGTAACTATATTGAAAGTATGGGTGTAGTACTCCAGTCGCAATAAAAATCATGTGACAATTATAAGCCAGATACCAAGGTACTGTTGTAAAGCAAAATCTTTTTTCAATTCCCATGTTTTGACAGACCCAAAAGCTTCGAATTCAAGGTAATTATAGAAAAAGTTATGACAAAGAAAGACGAAATGGCTGAAATGATTTCCATTAAAATGATTAGATCTGAAAATGATATCCTAGAATATTTTGTGGTGCTATGTTATAAATGTTGGATAAAAATAATTCAAATCCTGTGGTCATCCGGAAAATGTCCCAAAATAACTCCAATAAAATTCAGTTTAAAACGGTGGTGACAGATGTTCTTTCTAGTTAATATTTCAGAAACTTCACATCATAAAACGGTTTTATGAAGAATTGTCAGATGATATAGAACAAGTGATATCATATGGTGTTAACCAGTTGGTTCAGATGTTGTCATACACATTCGCAAAAAAGCTTTTGTCAAGCATGCAAGGTAAATCATCATCATTTCTTGTCAGGAATCTCAAGAAACAACTTCATAGATTTTAAACTTGTGTAACTTCCTGTAAACAATAGCCTGTCTCTCTTGGAATATGTTTTGTGATTTTTAAAATTTCGCTAATAAAAAAATCAATAAAACTAAAAACTAATCTTAAAAAAAATTGCACAGATAGGCAGAATCGCTATATGCAGGGAAACACATACACATATGCCATAAGTGAACGACTCAAACATGAAAACGACTAAAAAATGAGTCCCTTAAGCGTTTTAGCAGGGTTAAATATTAATTCAATAAAAATCACCTTATTGTGGTCTTTCGCGATAGCACCATGATTCCTGTATAAAAAGAAAAACTCATCTTGGGATGAAAATTGATTGCAGTTCTCACAAATACTTGAGTTGTTGTTATTTTAAAAAAACATTACATAATCCCGGATTACATATATTCAATGAGATATTAAATAAAAAGAGAAAATGAAGGTGCATATTTTTCATTTATATTGAAATCAGAGGTCCGGGCGTATTCGTAATGCTTTGCATATCGACGAGCCAAAATTTTATAGCAGTAAAAGTGAAATTTCTGTAGTAGTATACGAGAAGGATGGGTAAAACTGTGACTTGGCAAATTCAAGTGGACTGGTAAGAGGAGATCAGGAGTTTTTGTTATATTTAAATTTAAAAGTCGCATAGGGTGACTCACGTATATAGATATATATATATATATATACGTTGTTTGCTTTGTCAGATGGTAACTGACATACTTGGATGGCAGTGGCGTAGCAAGCCCGCCACCCCCCCCGCAAAAATATTTCGTAAAAATGACCCTAGAAACTCTCGGAAATAAGCTACAACAACGCTTTTTTTTATTCCGCCAAAAAGCATAACATGTCGCTATAAAAAGGCAATGGTAACCTAAAATTTGCTGTTTATCTTGGTTACTTTAATTTTTTCATACGTTCTTCCTCTTCTGCCCTTTTTCTGTGTTTCTGTGCGCCACTGAGAGGTTTTGCTTTCGACATCATTCTGACAGCCTTCGTAATATTGCCGGTGCGATCAAACCACAAAACGCCGAAAATCGAGGACTCCCTGGCATTGTTACGTAACAAAACGATTTGAGCAGAACTAACATCAACGTTATAAGATGTGCATTACTTGGTTTGCATTGTAGCTTTTGGTTTGCGGCTTAAATTTCTAAATTCTGACCGCTTGGGCCCCTTTGCGCTGTGGGCCTTCCCGCGACCGCGGGGGTGGATGCTACGCCACTGCTGGATGGTATTTTTTAATGAATAGCTAGCTGTTCGCTTTCTGACAGTTGTATGTCATGCTTCTTTTCTTGGTGTGAGATCATTATTATTACACTTGTATGGCTTTTGTTTTTTGCATGAGTGGCGATATATCCTGATGAGGGTTGTAGACAGCATGCTGTAGTTCCTGCAAGATACTAAGTATTGTAACTGGGCAAGCAGTCGAACTATATAAGATTCTCCCCTTTAATACATTTTTAGTTTTGTGTTGGTGATTTTAATTTGATGTGGTTTTTTACCTCCTAATATAAGCATTGCACTTTATGTTTAGGTAAGCTATTTCTGTGGAGTTGACCAAAGTGTATATAGTGTGATAAGATCAAAGTTGAGTGTTTTTGCATGGCGTGACAATTGTGTCCCTAACAGAAATTGCTTTTGGATCCTCCAAACACCAATATAAAGTGATAAGAATTTAATGATCAATATCCCCTAAAATCAATTTAACAATTTCATTTATCTCCCAATAATTAATAGGTCAACATATATCCATATATGCAATCTTTTAAACACCTACTCGCAGATTGTTTTTTTGTTTTTCAGGCTACGTCACAATCATCGATTGACGTGAAATATGTGAACAATTTTCCGAAGACTGACTCTTATGAATCTTCCGTATTAATCTCCTATGGAATTATAATTATTATTCTCCTAAGGATCCTATATGAAAAACATCCTCAATTCCTTTATTCTTGCTCCCACCCTTTATAACCAATAAATTACAATACCTACTTCAGTATCAATCCCCAAATCTTATTATAATATACTTAAACTGTTACCAGAAGTATTTAATAACTGATGTAATCTGGACTATAATTTAGCATGTCTTTGGTGAATGAAAAGGTTTAGCCCACCTCTTCATGCACTCAACTTTGGCAACTTTGGTTGGGCAATTTGGCACTTGACTCCAATTATAATAATCAGCTTGGCGAAAGCATTTTTTGTCCTTATATTAAGTGTGGCAAACAATTCTTGTTATTTATTGCATTTCTTATTCTTTTATTCTAATTTCTTTTTTTGTGTTTCTTTTTTTGGTTACTATATAATCTATCTTGAGCTTTTCTCTTTTTTCTAATTTTATTAATGCCCATTGGTTGTGTGTGTGTGTGTGTGTGAGAGTGTGAATGATTTGATTTAGTAGTTTTAGGTGAGTGAACACGTACCACTTCTTTTTGGCAATACCTTCCATCTTATATCCTGTACGTTTTAAACCTTACCCAAGGTTTTGTTCACTCTCCTGATTTCATAATCAGTTTTTATTTATTTGTTTTTATCAACGGTTTGATCGCCTTTCTGCTGATTATGGAGTCGAAATAAACTTATCTTATCTAATCGATTTATATATTTTCTTAGGAGTTCGAAGATTCCAATTCCTTAACCCCTACTCAGAAAATTATATGTTCAGCTCTCAATATTAAAATTTGATTCCAATGTCTTTTCATACGTCCCTTACCTACGAGTAATGTTACTTTTCCGTGATTTGAAAACAATAATATCTGATCAGAAAACTGTTTCTCATCTTTCTACCATCAAGGCTATAGTGTCATTAAATATAACACTTGCGAAGAATTACAAGACAATAACTTCTGAATTCTCTTGTTTCAAATATTTATTAATACAATCTGTTTACATGTTACAATAATATTCGATATTTATTTGAGAATAGTTGGATTCATACATCAAACATTTCTTGATTATTGAAATTGTCTACGTTTCCTGAAAAAAAAGGTTATTGAACATATCAGATACATGCCAAACTATCAAACTCTAATTATTCTAGTCGCGACTTATTCGTGATTTTTATCAACAGTAATCTTAGCTAAAATACGAAATTGGACGTTTCACAGTATGTGTTGATGACTTGAACGAAGCCAAAATTTTTATCTCCGCGTGTACATATATATCAAAAATTAGATTTTGTTAAACCTTAGTTCAATACAAAATATGACTGAGCTTATTATATCGAAGGGCATTCGGTGAATTTTGGAAATCTAGTTGATAAAACTTTGAATAACCTGTTCAGAGGTTAATCGCAGTTTTTGATATTCCAACGTATCTTAAACTAGATATATATACTATTTTCACGAATTGAAGAGTTATATAGCATTTACCTTAGAATGTTTGCTGTTTATCCGCGAACTCCCTTCCACCTTCTCAATCCCACTGGAAAAAAATTATTTATTTAAGCAAGTAAAATGAGGCTACTGGACTATTGACATTCGTTTTATAGCATTCCTTTTTTAAATGGTATCGTGGTATTTCCAACAATTTATTATTATTATTAACTTTTTAATCGCAACACAATTATATTGAAATCCCAATAATGGCCCGAGTCATATTATTACACATTTCGTGCATGGTCCTAAGCTAAATGGTTAACACTGATACAAAAAATTCAAAACCGAAATACGTAGTTGACGGTTCTTTCATCGAATATTGTAACCCTTATGACTAATTGCATTGGTTGTATTTATAAAGTTGATGTGGTTTAATAAATAAGTCAGTGCGTTATCAATCTTCTCACTTTACGACTTCTGTAACTACAATTTCGAGTTATTCAGAAAATATTTTATTTATAATATTGGTTTTGCTTTCGTATTGTAAGTAAATTTCTCAAGAAAGCGCAAGGAAAACGTTAATTGGATAAAATTGACATTGAAGCCTCGTCTCCCGGAATGGATCGTAAGCATACGCTTTTATAGATACGTAAGTGCTCTTAAGGCCTAATGGTTGGCGAATCAAAACATTATGAAAACAACCATACAAAATGCGCTTCAATGGGTTTGTAAACAAAATAATAAAAAAAGACATTTCATAAGTTTGCCGACTAGTTAGAGGAAATTAGATTTAGGGGTCATATATATATTATATACGTTATACACAAGAGAGCTTGTATGCACCTATATTCTGTTTATTGCTATGTTAAATGCTGGAGTAAGCCGGCCTCAGAATTTCATATTCAGCTGCTTTTCTAAGTTATGACTTTTGTCAACTAATCGCGTAGAAAATAGATTATTCGAATTGAAAAGCAGTGGTTCTCAGTCGCCGGCAGAGGTATGTGATATATATTTGCTGGTTACCAAGGATACTTAATGTTTTTTATGTTATTGTTCTCCCAGTGTAACCGCTCCGCTCTTATGTGAAAGAATGTTAGACACTTACACATTAATGCGTAACATACCTAATCCGTTTGGAATCGGCAACTGTCCTACATACGTTAAATACCGCGGGTACGGTTAGAAAGCATCATAACAATAATCGCAATTCAGCAGTTAATTTCATCTGATTTTGGTGTAAAAAATTCAATCTACATTTTTGTTGATTATATAGATTTTGTTAGCGTTGTTTGGCCAAAATATATCATTAAATTTACGCTACGAAGCCGAGACTCCTTGTTACTCATTCTCAATTTTTCTGGCCTGGAGTCTTACGTTATCGGGAATAATTATATCAATTATTATTTCGTTTCAAGATATTTGCTCATACCAACGCTATACGTTCAAATCATTCCAATATCTAGTTGTCGGCCCATGAGTACAGGGTCGTACATTTTTCTGGGCCTCGTCGTAGAAAGGTTGTGTACAGGGGCTTAGAGATCACGAGACAGAACTCAAATCAGAAGATCGGAGATTCGTTTCTAACTGATGTAGGCCATTTTTATTGAAGAGAAAATTAAATTAGACTATAAATAAGGAATCTGATGTTGATTTCCGTGAACATGTACAAAAATCTGTCACCAGTGGGATTCAAACTGTATTGAACTCACAAACAACAGGTTGCCGTTTCTCCGAAATGTATGTATGTCACAATGTAAGTTACATTAGTATGCGATATTCTCTACAATTTAATACATAACTTTTAAGAAACGCCAAATATATCGCTAGTCGTCAGCCGCGGTGAACCCAAACCAACATCAAAACAAAATCAAAGGGTTCGATGATTATTGCGATGTTTGCATGAATACTAGCGCTGCCATTAACTGTTTTATTCGGCGCCCCGGGTCTGTTTTGCTTAACATATTCTTAACCCCCAATAATCATTGACCATTAAAAATGTTTCAATACTTTTACAATAACATCGTAATAATAGAACAAACTCCAAGAAAGTACTTACCGACAATTGGAATGAATGAAGCACTTATTGCAAACACTAAAACGATCATGAAGATTCTTCGAACAATTGATGAAATAGTACACTTCATTTTAATAAGGTTGTTTTCAATTACGATGGAATGCGGAACCTATAAATAAATATGTCAAAGTAAAATAGCAAAAATAAATCATTTGGAGCGTTTTGGGGAATTCGCTGCTTTTCACGTGATTGAATAAACAATGTAGAGGGTAGCATAATACAAAATATTGTCTTTACGCAAACTTCATAGTTATCTTATACAAATGTAAAATAGTTTTAAGAAATCACAATTTACCTAGAAAGAGTGTAAATTCTTCGAATTATTCTTTTTGATCTTTTGAAAACTGATAATGTTCTCCAAGTCTTCGTTTGCGCAATGAAAACTCTCAACTGAGCCTCAAAGCTAATGCGCCTGGAAATATATAGCCATTCTGCCTTCTGATTGATTTCAGTGAAACAAAGATGATCAAATTTAATTGAGTTTTTCAGTAATTGGAACAATATTCATAAATCATTAAAACATACCATGATGTTGATCATCACCGAAGAATTTACGTACTTTTATTTGAAAGCTTGGGATAAGTCTGCTGCATAACAACCTAGTATCAGATTACTCCATTCTTCCAAGAGTTTGCAGTTACCATTGTACTTTTTGATTTTATGAGGTGTGTGTTTTATGAGCAGCTCATCGGTAGTTCCGTGCCGAGATCGAAGATGGCCCACACTTTTGTTACTTAAGGTCCGTAGCCGATTGGTTTGAACATTTGACTGATTTATTTTGATACTACTTACTTTTGGTGTGTTTACGTATGATTCACTGCATCGCGATTATTGGCTGATTACTTGATTACTTCTTGTTATGGTTAACTGTCTAGAGCTTTAGTCTGTCTTTAGATCTGTTCTCATAAGCTTGTTAATGGTGCTATAGTCATTGGGTATGAATATTCTATTTCTTAAGTTTCTTACATTGGGATAATCTGTTCTGACAAAGCCTCATTTAAATGTAAGTGAATTGGTATATTCTTGCTTTGTATTGCGCCTGGTTGCCTGTACTCATTTTAATATTCATCTTTATTGTTTGTCAGGTCACTTTGTCTCACTGATATCTGGATTAAATCACTTTGGGAGAAATCTATTCGTTTCATTTCGGGATATTAGTTAAAGAGACATAGTAGGCAAGGGTGATTTGTCAATGGGCAGAAATCCAAACTAGTGACATTTAATGATACTGCACCTACACCTACAAACTGGAGTCTGAATCAAGCAGTTCTTCTTCAACCTTTCGAGGATTCAGCAATACATCAAAGCAAGAATGCCAACTAACAATGGCAGAATATTTTCAAGGTCAGAATTTCAAACAACTCAAGAGTAAGTTCCCGGTACTCAAAGTAAATTTGGAAAGAATTTTAACACGATTTGAGCACTCTCTGGAAAGAAGAGATTTTGAAAAGGTCAAAATACTGTTTCATGATGCTAACGATAAAATAGCATTTTTGGTCTGTCTAATTGATACTATGGAATTGGCTCTAATTGAAGAAGACAGTACTACACAAAGTGAGGAAAAACCCGTTATATCTAAATTTAGTGAAGAAATTTTACGTGTGGAAAACAAGATTGCAATCGATTTTGAGAAATATGAAGACAAACTAGATATAAAGCCGGTGATATCATCTCTTGTAACCACTCAATACAATTATAATAATGATCCTCCTATGATTAAGTTATGTGGTATGGATCCGCCATGCTGGAACGGACAAAAAGTAGACTTTTATACCTGGAAAGAACGTTTTACACATATAATGCACCATGCTAGAATTACGGATGATTTAGTGCAAATTTCATGGCTTTTACGCAATGGTGCAATGCCAAACGATTATCAAACAATGATATGTGACTGTAAATCAATTTCAAGTGCATGGGAACGCCTGGAAGAGCGTATTCCTAAATCAGTAGTTCAACGTGAAGTAATCAAGCAATACGAGCAAATAAAACCTTTATATAAGACCTCTCGTAATCCAGCGAACCTTAGGCGACTAGCTCACGAAATTTCTCTCTTCTGTCGACGTATGGAAGATCTTGGGTTAAAACAGGATGCAAACTCGGTTATTTCTGTCAATAGAGCATTAGAGTGTCTAGATGCAGACACTGCACTGCGATATAATAGTTCCAGCAAAGGTAATCATAACTTGGAATCTATAACGAATTTTCTGAGATCTGAAGCTACAGCATTGGAAATATCTGGTAACTTTATCAGTCAAACCGAGAATATGAGGTTTCGACCGAGACAAAACCAGTCGCCAAGATCTAATTTCAATACGGTTAATCATGCTACAGACGAGAATGATAACATGGGTTCAGTTCAGCCACGCCAAAGGACAGTCACTTGTATTTTTGGATGTGGAATTCAGCACCGCCTTATAGACTGCAACAAATATCAAAACCTATCAATTCCTGAAAGAAAAAACTTTATAGCAGATGATCGAAGATGTTTTATATGTCTAGGAACTCACTTTGCAAGAAATTGTGCAAGAACAACAGCCGATAGCTGTGTAAATTGTAACCAAAGACAGCATCATTGGTCATTATGTCCCGGAAAAGTACAAGGAAATTACAATACAATGAGAAATTCTGGTATGAACGACTCGAATTTGGAAAGTCAACATATTCACTCTAATGCAGCAGTATTTAACCAATCTCAGATGCATTCAAGACAATTGAGCGCTTTTAATTTGGATTATTCTCCATTACTTGTTGCAGAAGTGCAGGCGAGTGACAAAACATGGATCAAGGCAAATTTCTTTCTTGATGGTGGCAGTAACCATTCTTTGGTAAGACGTAATTTTGTAAAATCATTGAAACAAAAGGCAATAGGTCATGGAACAATTCGGTTTGGTGTCGCAGGAGGAGCCATTCATGAAGAACCTTCTGAAGATTATAATTTAAAAATTAGACCTCTTTCACGAGACCAGATATTTGATATCAGAGTTACGGCTGTGAGAAAACCTTGTCACGATGTTACACCAATTCCGCCATCTATTTTTAAACAGTTTGAATATCTAAGAGGAATTCAGGATAAAATACCAGTTGGGCAAAAAACAGTCGATGTTCTTGTTGGTAGAGATTATGCACCTTTAATTCAAACAATGCATTCATTACGTTCGCCAATTGATCCCGATAATCATCCTTCAGCAGCTTTCACATCTCTTGGATGCTATCTATATGGAGGCATTATTCAAGCACCGCAACGATCTTTCAATCATGTAGCAAATATTAATAGTTTTTCATCATTAGAAAATGAAGAGTTGCGCAAGTTTTTCCATGGTGAAGTTCTTGGAGTGCAACCCACAACTTTGTGTTGTTTGTTCTAACTCAGAAATTGCAGAATCAGCATTTATCAAACATGTAAAAGCGACAACCAATATTGGTGCTGATGGCCGAGTTTGTGTCAAAATGCCATGGAAACCTGGTTTCCCAGAAAAATTGCACAACAATTATGAGAAGGCGTATGAACAAATGAAAAAACGGGAACAAGAATTGTATAGAAAAGGAAAAACGGAAAGAGTATAATATGGAGATTAAAATCTGCTTCAGCGAGGCGTAGTACGACGACTAACACCGGTTGAAACGAAAACGGCTAAAGTTGAAAATGGCATGGTACCTCAATCATCGTATCGTAGAGCGTCCGGATAAAACCTCAACAAAATTAAGAATAGTATTTGATTCTGCGTGTCCTTTTAAGGGCACATGTCTCAATGATGGTTTAGAGAAAGGTCCCAGCTTTGCGAATTCTTTGTTCAGATGTTTCATGGCATGGCGAGCTGATAGTGTGGCTATTGCTGGTGATATATCGAAAATGTTTAATCAAATTCAAATGGCAGAAGTCGATCAGAAATTTCATCGTTTCCTTTGGCGCTATGGTGATTCATCGTTGCAACAACAATCTTTCAATGGCTTCGGTTATGTTCGGAGATAAATCTAGTCCTGACTTGGCATGCTTTACAATTAAATTTTTAGCCGATAAATTTCGAAAAGATCATCCTCTTGAGCTGTTGTATTGACAAAGATACATACATTGATGACGTCAGTCATTCTGTTTCGAATCACATTCTTGCAAACAAGGTTATCAATGATGTTGATCAAATACTTATTCGTGGAAAATTCTCTATAAAGATTTGGAACTCAAACCATCCTGAAGTAGATCAAAATCCTGGTGAAAAAGTTGTTGATGTACTTGGTCATTCCTGGAATAAAACTGATGACAGTTTCAGTTCAAAATTCAAAGACATTTCTTTCATGCAAACAGGATTTTCTAAAAGAAAAGCATTAGCATGTGTAATGAAATTGTGGACCCTCTGGGTTATTTACTTCCAGTCACAATGCAGTATAGAATAGATCTTCAAAAGATCTGGGCAGATGGATTTAGCTGGGACCAAACTTGCCAGATGATGTGGTCAAATGCTGGTATAACAATGTTCAAGAAATGTCCAAGTTAGCTCAAGTTTCAACTCCAAGATGTCTGAAACCTGAAAACACAACTGGACCTCCTCAACTGCACGCATTTTCAGACGGTGGAGATTTAGCCTATGGCACTTGTGTGTTCTTACGGTGGCCTACAACAGGTGGAGTTAAGCTAACATTCGTTGCAGCAAAGGGATTTGTGGCGCCACTCAAACACAAAAGTACTCCAAGAAAGGAGCTAATGGGAGCAATAGGCATGAGCAGATTGGTGCATGAAATAAGTAGAGCACTACCGTACAATATTGCATTCAAATATTTCTGGATAGACAGCAAAGTTGTTATTTATTGGTTGAACTCCCAATCTGGAAAATTCAAACCATTCGTTGCTTCAAGAGTACAAGAATTTCAAGATACACATAAGAATCTAACAAAAGAAGTCAAATTCATTCCAAGTCTTCTTAATGCTGCAGATTGTTTAACAAAACCTATTTCCTGCGAGAAGCTTACAATTTGGCATGAAGGACCTGAATTTCTAAGGCAACCAATGGAATATTGGCCGAATGATGATGACTTAAAATTAGATGAATTACGTCAAGAAATATTGGAAGAAAAACCACCAACTAAGTCAAAAGCATATCGCGGAAAAAAGACAATTCAACGTCGTTAAAGCAGATTTGCCTTATCAAAATGATAATGATTTAGCGGATAATTTTTCTTCATGGCAAGACTTGCTAAGAGCGACAGCTTGGATGAAGGGTGCATTTCAGCAAAAATCATTTGTCAATTTGGAATTTAAACCTGCCGATGTCGTACAATACATAGAGAAAGCAAAATTGTGTATATTCAGAATTTGTCAAAAATCTATGATTGATGAATTTGGGAAGGCTGTCAAAACTCTATGGAAATTAGACTTGTTATTCGATTCTCACGGAATTCTTCGTATTGGTGGAAGACTGAATAGAACTGATTTATATATGGAAATGAAGCATCCAGTCGTGCTTCCGGGCAAACATTCCCTCGTTCGTCTTCTTGGAGTGTTCTATCATAAAAGTTCTTACATCAAGGGTATCGAGTTATATTGGCAAATATGAAGAATGACGGTATTGTTCTTATTGGTGGAAGAATACTCTTAAAATCAATAGCATCAATGTGTATATTTTGCAGGATTCGTCGTAGAAAGTTGCTACAGCAACGCATGGGAGAACTTCCTTCATTTCGAATGCAACCACAGATGGCACCATTCAATTCTGTAGCAATGGATTTTTTCGGATACTTGAAAGTAAAGCAATCTCGAAATGTAGTTATCAACGCGTCTGTTTTAATTATTACATGTGCAACCACTCGTTGTATTCATCTGGGAACTGTGTCTGGCTCTGGATACTAATTCGTTCCTTCGGGCATGGAGACGATTTGTATCTATAAGGGGAATTCATCCTGCTTTTGTATTTTCCGACGGAGGTACTACATTTCAAGCTAGTCAAGCGCCTATCAAGGAATGGATCGAGAAATGGAATTTTCAGTTGATTCAACATGAGATGGCAGAGAATCAAACGAACTTTGATTGGAAATATAATGTGCCTTACGCGTCACATATGAATGGAGTAGTAGAATCGCTTATCAACTCGGTTCGCAAAGCACTCGATGCATCAGTGGTGAATTACAGCAGGGCTCTTATGACCTACGAAGAATGGACAACTGTTCTCAACGAAATTACTTATATCATCAATAGTCGACCACTTTTCCCAGATGGAAACCCTTTGGAATATAATTGTATTACTGGCAATACTCTTTTACATCCATATACAAAGCAGGTAGTCCCTCAAACTACACAAGAAGAGAGATTCAATCCACGAGACATGCTAAAAGTGGCGGAAAACAGAGTTGAGGTGTTCTGGAAAACATGGATGAAACACATACCGCCTCAGCTATTACTTGCTAACAAATGGTTTCGAACAAGACGCAATCTTCAAGTTGGAGATTACGTATTAATTCTTCAACCTGGATTTAAAGGCGGAAGTGCACCCAGAGGTTTATGGAAAAAAGCACTGGTTCACAACATTATGCCCAGTTCAGATGGCTTGGTGAGAAGTGTTACAATCAAAGACAGCGATGGGAATTTATACAATCGACCAATACATAAACTTTGTCTAATTGCGACCAAAGAAGAGCTACAGTGTGGGTTGAAAGACATCTAATCTCATATCAGTTACTCCGAACCAACAATGTTCAATATTATCGTCTTTTTCATTGCATTCATAGACTGGGGGGGAGTGGTTTGAACATTTGACTGATTTATTTTGATACTACTTACTTTTGGTGTGTTTACGTATGATTCACTGCATCGCGATTATTGGCTGATTACTTGATTACTTCTTGTTATGGTTAACTGTCTAGAGCTTTAGTCTGTCTTTAGATCTGTTCTCATAAGCTTGTTAATGGTGCTATAGTCATTGGGTATGAATATTCCTTTTGTTAAGTTTCTTACATTGGGATAATCTGTTCTGACAAAGCCTCATTTAAATGTAAGTGAATTGGTATATTCTTGCTTTGTATTGCGCCTGGTTGCCTGTACTCATTTTAATATTCATCTTTATTGTTTGTCAGGTCACTTTGTCTCACTGATATCTGGATTAAATCACTTTGGGAGAAATCTATTCGTTTCATTTCGGGATATTAGTTAAAGAGACATAGTAGGCAAGGGTGATTTGTCAATGGGCAGAAATCCAAACTACCGATGCAATGTATTGAGAATGATATTCGCTCATATACTTTTACATAGGCTTACCATACGTCCCGGTTTTGCCGGGACAGTCCCGGTTTTAGCATGTTTTTCCGCCGTCCCGGCGATGGACTTAAATGTCCCGGTTTTGCAGTATGACAGTAATAATTTTTCCATTTGATACCATTACAAAATTTTGTTTTTAACGGAGGCAGCTGATTTACCCTGATTTGCGTCTCACTTCACTAACTAGTTCAGATAGAGAGAAAAATTGTTATGTCATAGTTGTGATTTGAAGTATGAACCGCGCGTTAATTTAACACCCAACTGTACTGTCGTTGTATCATCAAAATGACGGAAACAAAGTGCAAGTTTTAAAATGAGTTGAACGATTTCCAATGTTTGAAGCAAAGACCAATAGAGAATAGTTTAATAGGATTTACAGATCATTTTGATGCCCGTAATCTACCCACAATGGTATGGAAAACCTTTAAACTATTACTAAGCCTTTGGAATCGAACCAAGGTTGGCTTGTCCAATCCGCGCCGTCCCGGTTTTTTGTTTCGAAAAAATATGGTAAGCCTACTTTTACATCTCATACCAATACATGAAGTATTAATTTATTATTAAACCAACCCAAATTTTTAAAAAAGTAACTATTGTGAAATCTCGCCACCCAGGGATATGCTCAAATACTAAACGGCGTATAATGCTTTTATGGCCGCAAAATTGTATTATATATACAATACAATCGTCTTCATATAACACAGGGCGATCCAAACCGCGGCCTGCATGACAATTTTAGCGTGCACTAAATATCATTGGCCGATATTTGTATTTATTTGCAGAACATTTGAGTTATTTTCAAATTAGTTCAACTTGGAATATCCCTTTCTCCGATACCGATGTCGGGATTCATATGCGTTAAAATCACGGAATTTCATTGTTGTATTCATAAACATTAAGACCGCGCCGATATGGAAATGACGTCCTGCGATCGGTAAGGAGAATCGATTGTCTTGTTCAGACAGGACCAAGCCGATGAGATGGGTCGCGCTTTTTGTCTTCGTACCTTAGGCTGCCTTCAAGTAACACTTCATTTGGGGGGACGTTTTGTGCCTTTATTTCAGTAAAAAGACTCCTTTATTTTCAAGCGTTGGCCATGTGACAGCAGTGACGAACCGCAGAGCTGACTTAGCGCCACGCGATCCAGTTTTGTTTTAGCTGGGTGGTCCTGAATCCCAAATTAGACGGACTTGGTTGTTCTTTGACGATAGCACCAGGCCTGCTCACGCAACAAGTAATCCCCCCCCCCCCCCCAACAAAATTGACTCTCTTTGTTTTTGTTCACTACAGTGGGAGCAACGCGTACTATTTCATTGTTGATCCTAACATTGAATATTCAATTCTTCTCCCATGAAAGCAAAAAACATGAAGTAAATAAACGTGAAGTGTGCAGACAAAATAAAAACATCATTTCAATATTGAGGAGTTGCTTCCACTGTATTGAACAAAAACAGTCTAAGTTACCGAGAAATTTAAAGAGACGGTATATATTAAATTATGTCGGACTAAACCATTGCTGGTTAGCTTTGAGGACAATAAAACAATTCTGGTAAACACCGCTGAAAAAGCACAACCCCGTAATTTGGTAATGCATTCGTCAGAAACTACTTTGCCCAGTGTGAGTCGTATCTGTTTAATTAATGTGTGGCCCGTTGGTTTATAGGCAATTATCTGATGAGAACCACAATCGAGTCTCTATGGTTTGTGTCCGCTAATGAACCTGAACAAGCAGCCTTATATATATATGAGCCATCGTTGATCCTTACATTAAATATTACATTTATGTCTCATGAACGCAAAAAAACATGAAGTATATAAACGTGAAGTGTGCAGACTAAATAAAAACATCATTTCAATATTGAGGAAATGCTCCCAATGTGGTGAAAAAAAAACTGTCTAAAGCCCCGAGAAATTTAAAGAGGTGTTATATATATGTGTGTCATCGTTGATCCTAACGTTGAATATTCAATTTTTGTTTCCTGGAATCAAAAGACATGAAGTCTATAAACGTGAAGTCTGCAGACAAAATTAAAACAACATCATTTCAAATTTAAATCAACGTTAGGATCAACGACGGCCAATATATAAAAGATTGTATATTCAGGTTCATAAAATATAGGATTCGTAATCGAATACAATTATTTGAGCTCATTGGAATTGTTGTTATTTTCCGTATACAAAAAATTTTGATGTTGAAAACCTCCCTGTATATTTTTTACGGAAAATTGATCGACTTTGACTATATGCAATGCATATCTATGACAAATATTTGGGTCTACCCGACTTTCTGTATTCTAAAAATATACTTTGGGGACATTGAGCCTTCTCATGTTGATGGTGATAATGTTGCTGTTCTCGGCCGGGATGACTTCTGGAAGTACCTTGGCAAGAGCATGGGATACTAATGATGGGTATATACTACCTCCAGAATCGTTAAATGTAATTCGGGTTTATTTCTTCTGGTTGTTAGTGGCGGACGGCATCAGGAGAAACAGCATTTGTTGAACGAGTTAAGATTTTAAGTATTTTTGACTTATAAATGAACGTTCTTTTTATCGGTGCGCAATGAGTAGGACTGGGAATGGTTATTTGGTTAATTGATTTTAAATGATTAACGGTTACAATTTATTTTTACCGTTTACTGACATCTCAGATACAAATAACTTTTATAACGTACAATTTCGTCAAAAATGATTAGTCCAAGGCAAATTTAGAAAAAATTAAATAAAGTAATTGAGGTAATGGTATTGCTGTTTATGAAAATTTGACTGTGGCAAATTCGAAATCGGTTTCTGGCCAGAATATATAGTTCACGATTAATCACATTGGCTTCTATCCAATGTCATTCAACAAGTGAGCGTTCTGTCGCAGAAATATTAGCATATTGGTATTTTGGGGAAGCAGTGATTACCGCTTTGAATTTGTAATATTTGCCTGTCGTGCTTAATACTCTGATGGTGCACGCGTATCATACCGTATGGACGGATAGAGCTAGTAGCTCCTGATTGCAATTAAAGCTGTTTATTTTATGATATTTCAAAGTAAAAGCTGCACATCGAACACTGAAAGCTTTGTCACATAAATGACCTGTAATACCGGAACCGGTTTTACTAAAAAACTCGTATGTCCGAAGTTCGATGCATATATATCCCCTGCAGTTAAACCATACAACTATCTCGATCCATGAATATTTTCGAGCGATACCACAATAATATCACACGAAATTGCATTGGAACTAATGCCACGCAACAAGCATAATTCGTGCAATGAAAACTTTCAATTAAGCCTCAAAGCCAATGCAACTGAAATTATATAACCATTCTGCTCCCTGATTAATTTCAATGAAACAAAGTTGATCAAATTTAATGGAATTCCTCGGTATTTGGAACAATGTTCATAGATTAAATTATAACATTTATCAGAAAGTCGCTTTTGTTTGCCATTGGCGAGTTTTGGAATTGGTAGCGCGGCCGATAGAAGTTTTCACGTTGCGATACTTACCACATGTACAATTGAGGAACATAGAAAAATACATTTTTTTCGAAAAGGCCACCCAAGAGAACTTAGTCAGTGTCTGACGCAATTTGCCCCAAGAAAATTGACTCTTTTTGTTTTTGTTCACTACAGTGGGAGCAACCCGTACTGTTTCATCGTTGATCCTAAAGTTGAATATTCAATCCTTCTTCCATGAAAGCAAAAAACACGAAGTATATAAACGTGAAATTTGCAGACAAAATAAAAACAGCATTTTAATATTGAGGAGTTGCTCCCACTGTAGTGAACAAATACAAAAACTGTCTAAAGTCCCGAAAAATTTAAAGAGGTGTTATATAGGAAATTATTTTAAGACGAAACCATTGTATAGTTCTGGTTAGCTTTAAGGAAAACAAAACAATTCTGGTAAACACCACTGAAGAAGCACACCACCGTGGTATGGTAATGCATTCGTGAAAAATAACTTTTCCCCGTGCGAGACGTATATAGTGAATACTAGAACATGTTAAATCTTATTCGAAAATCAAGTAATATTTTTCAAATTTTTGCGTTGTTTGGTTGAAACTCTTTGTACATTACATTTCAGATAACTTGAAGATATGGAAAAGAAACTACCACGAGTTCGTAAAAGCAAATGGATAGTGCAATACATTTAGCATGGTCAACACTAACCCGGAAAGACTCCCTATCTGCAATAGCCTATTCTCTCCTTGCATATCAAGAGCTGTCTATAGAGACTTGTTTGAAGTGGCTATGTGAACGGACACCCTACGAGCAAACACTTCCTCAACGAGTAGTTTATTTTCACTATACAATTTCTAATCGCATTTTTACAAGTTTTATCATTCATTTCACGTTCACATTTATTTTATAAATAAACCTTGTTGCATAGAATAGTTTTGTGATTTTTACTGATCATGTCCTGTAAAATGTAATGCCAGGATATTTACGGTAATTTTTACCGGGTTCTGAATGTAAATTCACCGAATTTGTATGGTAAATTCACAGGCTAGCGTCGGTAAATATTACTACGGATTGCCGGTGAAAATTACCGGAAAAAAATTGTAAGAATTACTAGGGATATCCTGTGAAATTCACAGGTGATCAACAGCGATTTTACCGAAAATTCTTGTGATCTTTACCCTAAAATCGCATTAAAAAATTACAACTACCTTCCAGTAATATGTAATGCCAGGCGATTGCCGGTAATATTTCTTAGAGTTTATCAGTTTAAAGTCTGGCCCGATGGTTTATAGGCATTTAATTAACGAAAACTGCGATTGAGTCTCCATGGTTTATGTCGCGCTAGTGAACCTGAACAAGCAGCACTATATATGGGCCATCGTTGATCTTAACGTTGAATATTTAATTTTTGTTTCCTGGAATCAAAAGACATGAAGTCTATAAACGTGAAGTCTGCAGACAAAATAAAAACAACATCATTTCAATTTAAATATTCAACGTTAGGATCAACGACGGCCAATATATATATGGTTGTTTGTTCAGGTTCAAAAAATATAAGATTCGTAACCGATATATTTGAGATTATTGGGATTGTTTTTATTGCCGTAAACAAGAAATTTTGATGCTGCCTCTGTATATAAACCTCCCTGTATATTTTTAACGGAAATTAATTATCTTTGACTATATGCAACGCATCTCTATGACAAATATTTGGGTCTGCCCGACTTTCTGTATTCCAATGTATACTTTGGGTCAACAAGAATTCCATCTTAAGAACTCAAACGTCAGTGCATTTACATCTCAGATTTCGTACTGACAATAATTATTATGCTTTACACGGATTTTTCCATTGACGTATATATAATGGATGGCAGATTATACATTGAAGTATGATTAGAGCGATTAGAAGGGATGTATAGGCAGGCTACGTGGTTGGTTACACCTCTTGAATACCTTGCACGTCAAGAGTCAAGACTGAGCTGCTCGACGGTCCGCTTTCAAGTCTATAAAACGAGTAAAATCTTCGTTGTGTATTATATTCTTAGATTGAAAATCTCACCGATAAAATTAATATAGAGACTATTAGAAAATTGGGTACTCCCGTAGTGTTTGTACCAGGTTAGGATTGGACCATAATTTTTTCCGATTTTCCTTATTTTAATTCTATTACAAGTTCGGGAACTGTCTGTGTTAGCTGCCCATAGGTTGGAGCCCCTTTACACAACTTGATTTAAAATAGGCGAACAAAATTAGTTACCTCCATATTGGTACACACACTTCTGAAGCGCCAAAAATTGTTAAAACTTCAAAATTATTTAACTCAGATGTGCATGTTCCCAGGGATTCCAAGTCGATTGCCCAAATTTCGAATACCCCAAAATCAAAACGCAGCCAGCCAGTTAAAATAAAATATCAAATTCTCATTGTCATTTGATTGAAACATTTACAAATCGATTTCTTACACTGCATACGGGTTCACTAATAGTAGAACGTTGGAATGAATGATGTACGGACTAATTGCGTGAAACTCGCTTTTTATGTGTCTGAATTTCCTAGCCTCGATTGTATTCCGATGCTGCCAATATTCATGCTTCACGCTGTCGGGATAGAAGATCCTCAATCACGATTTTAATTCATTTTTCATGCGTTTGAAGCAACTGATGCTTGAGAGACATTTAGGTATAAAGTGTATAGCATTGACTGCTTTCGTTTTAATTCGTGCTCGTATGCCAAACAAAAAGGATGTAGCTTGCTATAAACTTCTGTATTGTTATATTGCTATCGTTTCAAATTTTTTCAGCAGTTGATAGTTTTCGTCGATGGGCCCGAGAACTAGATGAAAGTGAGTACTTCTGATGTTATATGTTATTTTAAAACTTTGTAATTATCATTATTTCCTTATTTTTGTACGATTGACTTTCACTGATCGGAACAAAAAACTTTACTCGACTTCTTTTCTTCGGTTCTGACAATAACAAAATTTACATTATTTCATACGTGCTTATTGAATTCAGAATGATTCAATAAACCTCATTCCCTCAAACCCATTACACGTGTGCCATAAACGGTGCATAAACTAACAAATCAATAGATTGTGATCATCAGAACGTTTCGTAGTTTTGCCGCTGAACTTGACAAAGTTCACATTCTTCAGATATGTTCTTCATTTTCCAAGATATAAATATTAGTTAATTTTTTGTTATATGATTTGAAAGACTGGAGGGTTTTTACTTGGAAGATTGAAATCGCTTGGAAAATTTACATGCTAATACCTTCAGGAGTATTTTCACTAAATTACCGGCTGCTACTCAGGAAAGAATTATGCCAATATAGCTTAACCATATGACGATCTGCATATATTTTAATTAAATATCTCATGGCGGTCAATATCTCATAAATATCTCCCTCAGTATCCTTTCTGTAGTTCATTTGACCTCTCGATATACTCATTTACGTCTATAACGATCGGTCATGCTTTATACTAACTGGGATCATAAATAGATCCCATACGTTTTTTCCTGCATGCATTGGAAAACTGTTGATGATTTTCTAAAATATTATCAATGCCACTTGAAACACTGTCATTTATGGAACTTGTCCTATAAGCGCAAATTCAATTCATATATTGTAAATAAGATTGGACATTCTAAAAAGTCTTTCAAATTCCTTTATTTGACGAATCTGTTCTGATTATTGACACGCGTTGTGGGTGTCTTAATTCATCGACAGCGGAATGCTGTGGAACAAAGTGTTGAGATATATATGTCGTCTCTATTTGCTAAAGGCCATGAATATTTCCTTGTATGTCGACTTCCTGATCTTTGTAGCAATAACCAATCAAACAGTAGTAGCATAACGGCGATAAAACAATTTAAAATTTAGCAGCTTCTCAGACACTCTCACTCGGACAGATTTTCAAGACAGATTTTTGGTTGTAATATTGACCCGTTTTGGTTGTTTCAACTGCCATTTGCCAGTTTTTGATTTAGTGTCGTAATTGAGGCATAAATCAAATACCTTGTTGATCATTTTGCTTTTGGAAGAGTTTCAGATTTTGGTTGCGGTAGTATATTTCGAAATAAAATAGTCATTCCAAAATCCACGCTGTAAATCGCTAAAATAATTACAATATAAGCTTGAAATATTTTGCAAGGATAGAATTTTCAAAGCATAGGAAGAATTTGAATGGGGTAAAAAGTAGTAGAGTCGCCCTCTATTAAAAGAGGAACCAATCAACCAATCACTCACATAAACTTTCTGATCCGGTTAAAGATAAATTATGCCATTGTTTAAAACTGAATTATATTGGACCAAATTGTATTACTTATGGGGTTACAAGCATATAGAATTGTACGTTTCTTCTGATAAGCAGGCAAAATGATACATATAATATAATATAACCCTTACCGTATTACCAAAGTGAATGAGATGCAAGAGGGGTTGATACATTGGAGTGTTTTCTTGGCATTTCAATTTTATTTCTTCTTGCAATCTAATGCCATCTTCGTGTCTCTCGAAGAAGTTTTATCAAGTTCAATTGGAAATCATGTTCGTAAAATCAACTAATTTTACTTTTGACTGTTTACCTCAATTAGTTTATTTATGTTGACATTCATTTTTGAGATAAGATTAAGGAGGGACAACATTACTTTTGGTGGAAAATGTTGCTAATGCTAGGGATTCATAAAAAGTCAATACCAGTGCGTGACGATATAAATTATTAAATATTTTTAGACGAAGTGAACAAGTATCAACCTGACAATGCGGAATTTTTGTTATTTGAAGGTAAATGAAATTGATTAATATGCATTTTAACTATACTATTTTTGTTTCATTATTGCTTTATGTCTCGACTTCAGATCCTTAATTAAGCATTGAAAAGTCCAATAAATTAGAAGGACGTAAATGTGAAAAGTTTATATTAGTAGATTGACGAGTAGCTTCTTTGTCGACGACAATTGTTCATATGTTTAAATTATGTACTTTAAAAGTTTGTATACATTATATTCAAATCAGTATTAATTTTGCTTAGATGAAATCGAATTCAAACACGAGGTGGAACTAAAAGGGAGGAAAATCGAATAATACCGAACATAGCATGTTTACACGCGGGCTACTTTCATCTCACAATAACTGTAACCCCAACAATCGTATTGAAGAAAGAATTTCCACAAAACCTTTATATCAATTGTGTGTTCATTACCCAAACCTGAACATCAATTTTAAATGTTGAAATATATATGGTGTTTTTAACTTTTATAGACGGGCTATTCAAAACTAAAATGAAGTTTGCTAAGCTGGTAGTGCCCTTTCTATTTGTGTGTATTTCCGACGGCCAAGTGTAATGAAATGAACTTTTGAGGCATGTGAGGCATCCGAAATTAACTATTTAACTGTCTAGTCTTATGAAAGATTGCTTTCCATTCACGTACTTTAGGGTGGAAATATTTCACAATAATCCATCATTCCAGAATTTTCCTATATGCGTTGCCCGATTTTAGTTGTTTATCACCAATTTTCCGTTTCTATTCAATGTGCTTTCATATAGCGTTTCAAGAACAGCGCGAGTTGACGACATATTTTCTGAGCATTGCTCTTTTTCCCCATCATGTTACTTATAATACGCATTATCTATGTTCTTATTTGTTTGATTTGAATTTATAGAATATTAGGCGAACAATTATGAATGTACCGATCTATAATGTTTTAACAAAAGTTTGAATGATGTTCCTTTTAATGACCACAGGTTTAAAGTACCTGCTGCTGTGTTTAGTCTAAAAGTCATTTCTCTACATAATCCTATTTTTTTAGCCCTGATGATTAGTTTTTTCCTACCAGTTTAAAAATCATTAAATATATATATTTGACAAATGTATTACGTAATAATATTTCTGGTATCTTTTTTGAACTTATTTTCGTCCACAACTCAGCTTAGATGTGAACTTCCAGAGACAGTACCTGAACTCGACGTTGACAAGGTATGAGTTAATATAATTCACTGAAAACTTCGCGACTTTCCATGGAAATATTTTTCATCGTTTTTCTTTCCTTCTCAAGTTAACTTACACAAAATGGTACACTGGACTTCAGACAGATGATCCAGCTAGTAATAATGTGAAATGTGAAGAAATTGTGAGCATGACAAAAACTAGCAATGGATATGACTCGGTGTTGAGAAGCTACACTGAACGGTAGAGTCGTTGTTATAAATTTTACAGTTATAATTACGGTTGGTATCTGTTGCATACTTTAGCAATCAGGGCATGTTGTTTATCAAACTATGTGTAGCGAACAGAGGTAACTGTAAATATTATTTGTTTGATACCTTTTGATTCCTTAGAAAAAACTTCTCTATAGGATGGTTTGGAAGCATGTTGTGCATTTGAGATAAATCATATATCAGTGACCGCAACATTTCGTATCGTAGTAACAGAGCTGCTCTAAGTTGTTTTCTCGTTTTGAACACGTTGATTAAAAGTAAAATTCTAAAGTCGATAACAACTCCGGCTTCAATATTTATACCATTATATTAGAATATAGAAGTGGATTTTTGACCTGGCTGTGAAATGCGATCCTATGTAACTGGTAATTTTACAATTTCGTTATATGAAAGAATTTATACTCTTTTTGAACGAGTCACATTCACATGCCATACAAGACTATTTGTCCAAATGTTGTTCATAGTGAAATACTTCTGATTTCTATTCAATTTTTTAACCTACAAATATTAAGCAAAAAATTCGTCGAATGGACCTCACATTTGATTCGTCAACGAGCGGGAGTGTTTAAAGAAACCCGATTGGACGGCGGTGAGTTGGATATATGTACGTACACAAATACCCAAGTAAAATAACCCTTACGGAAATCCGCAAAGATAATTTTGCCAAACATAGAATTTGGTCCGCCGAGCGGAGTTTTTCAACGCAAATTCTGGTTAGACATATACATTATACATACATTCACGTATGCCATCGGCATGTTGTTCTTAAATCCAAACAACCAATTCTGACGTTGATTCAAATTTTTGTTATAAGACAAATGTATTTGTTAAAATATTTTGTTAATTAGATAGATATGCGAAAGTGATGCGAAATTAATTCTTTATTGTTACTTATCGATTTTAATCGGTAAGTATGTTGATAGGTATTTGTCTGTTTGTCTGTTAGATGCACGCGATATCTCACGAAAGCGAGATTGTATCTGCTTCAGATTTTGCACGTGCATTCATCATATGTCGGACCGGAAGCCTATTGATTTTGGATGAGTTATGTCGTATAATTAGCGAGTTATTAATTAATTAGTGATGAGACACAAGGTGTCACTATGGAGTAAGAGCGCTGTTTTGGGGGATCCCCTAACTTTCTATCGATAAGTCTTCGGTCTCTGACCGATATTCTCGTTTATGCATTGGAAATTATAGTATTCGCTATCATTTCACGCCATGCAATTGGCATTTCATCAGTTATACCAAATATAAGTTTTAATTAAAATGTTTCATCTTTCTTGATATTTTTCTAGATGTTACAATGATGAACGCCTACGCTCAATTGGAAAACAAAACTCTGAACACTGTGGTTTACAACCTGGGTTAGTTTGTAAATAAATGAATGTCAATAACTAAAATAGAATAGAATTTATGCTTTTCCTTTGATAATTTGTTTTCAGTTTATTGGAAGAATAACGACATTTCAAAAGATATATATATATATATATATATAATTGAAACTACTAGCATTTCGTGAAAGTTAATCCAATTTTTCAATCTTAGATTGATGTTTGGTGACATTAGTATAACAGTAATGTCTGATTGGCTCTTTTCTTACTCCACGTACGATCACATTACCTAATATATAAACATTACAAATGATTGTTATTTGAAGTTCGAGATGATCTTGAGAAAGACGAAATCATATTCATCAGTGATTATCGGAATTATCAAGCCGGAATACTTTGTACGCTTCAAGGTTAGATTTTTGAACAATTTTGTGTATGTATGTAAGAGATTTATGACCACAAATAAATACTGTGCTTGCTAGTATCTAAAGAATGACCTTGTAAGAGATCGAGATTTACCTCATTGTGCTGTATTTTATCAATTTACTAAATATAGATAGGTTACCTTTGGTAGGAATTTTGCATAAAGATAGTATCTTTTCAGGACAGTGGATTATAGGGGTCTATTTTCCGACGCCGACACCGACTGTGACGAATGTTGTAGCGTTCTTCAACGAAATGCATCGATTGGGAATCTCCACTCGGTTACTCTTATCAGAATGTTGGATATATATTTGAATATTTAATATATATGCCCAGTATCTCAAAAATAATATATGGTATCTCATGAGATATTGGTAAACATAAGGAAATTGAATATTTTTATTTAACAATGCATACTCGAATGCAATAAAACATTTAATCTGGTATGCATATTCCAGTAAAATTAAACTACATTTTCTTCTACATCTTCAAAGTTAGATTTAGGATTCTATTTATAGTGACAATCATTTGAAATTTGAAAACTGTTACATTTATTCAGAATATTATTAGCAGGGTAATTTTTGATTGCATTAAATATACAGTTATACATGGCCTGGTAGTTTCTGGGTAAAATATATAGTCTAACATGTATCGCATTGGCGTCTATTCAATAAGTGCGCATTCTGTCGCAGGGGTATTAGCATATTGGCATTTCTAGGAAGCAGTGAGGAACGCTTTGATTTGGTAACATTTCTGGTCGTGCTGAATACACTTTCTGATGGCGCACTCGTATCCCATCCCATCCCTAATAACGAAACTTGTTTTACTAAATAACCTCATATGTCCAAAGAACGATGCATATATATGTCTTGCAGTAGATCGGCCATACAACTATCTCGATTCATAACTAATTTCGTGCGATACTACAATAAGATCACACGAAATTGCTTTGGAACTATTGGCACGCAACAAGCTTAAATTATAACTTAACGTGGCAAACGTCACACTGCGGTTAACCGGGTAATTTTTGTCTCGGTTAACCGTTAAAGCGTTTTCCTTCAAATTCTCAGCCCTGGTGATGAGTAATCAGTGATCATTTATTTCGTCATCATACCAAAAATACAGATTGTACGAACAAAATGTATTAAAAACCTCACATATGGAAAGGTCGTACATTAAATTATATAAGGATATAGAGCAGACCATTACATATTTAAAGAATTTGGCGTATCAATACGTTTCAAGCGACCTGATATTTCCAGTATTGCTCATTTCACTAATCAACAGTAGATGATGTTCAAATTTATGGACACGAAACCAAAACGAAGTAGTGCGAGTATGCAATCTGACACAATATACCAGCGGTTCCCAACCTTTTTCCTGTTGCGGCACACTATACTGGCTATTTAAATATTCGTGGCACACCTATCGCAAAATAGGAACATTTTCTACTCTTGAAGCCATTTAGCTATAAAACAATAATAACATAGAAGATCAGATGAGGGAAGTTCTATTCTTGTTAATACAACATACCCTGTATTTAAAATGGATGGGTAATAATTACCGATATTATACCTGTTTTCTTACAATAAAGTACACGAGACCCACCTTCGGAGCACCTCACATTATAGTAAAAGATGCGCGGCCGCACGGGTAATACGTGACGCTAATACGCTTTAATTTTTCTCGCCCTTCCCCGTTCCACGTTGCGCCTTATTATTATCACAAGTATTCTCACTCTTGCACACCTATTTCATTTTTGTTACAATTCAATATGTTTATCCCATTGCCAAAACATTCAAGAGTGTTATTGTCGGCACTTGCGAGAGGTATGGAAGAGGCAAACAATCAGTATTTCATTACAACAATTATTTGAATCTTATCGCTAAAAAATACTGTAATAACAGTGTCGCATTGCTTGTTTTCATTGGCTCAGTTGGTTATTTCTTCAGTTCATTTCTGTACATTCTAAAAGTAGTCTGTACATAATAAGAACAATTGTAAAGTTGTTATAAACTATTTTCATCGATGGACGAATCTTTTAACGTTATGAATTTCGTGCAAGGCCCGAGCATAATTTTGATGGCAAAGATCGTAGCATTTACTGTGTGGATACGTTTATTCGACTTTTCAGACCGTAGAAACTATTCAAAAAATAACCGTTTCTGTGATCGAAATAGCACAAGGCGTTGATTTCTAATATTTTCCTACCCCGATGGACTGGTATAATCAAATAAAAACACCTGTAGGACATGATATCATCAAATTGAGTGCCTTTTATTTTGCTTGAGTTTATTGTGTTGTTTTTGGCTGCAAGAAACGCTTCGAAATGATAAAATAGGGGGAACTAAAGCTTTTGGATGGGAACGTTTGAATTAATATATATTTTTTTCGAAACGAAAGCCTTTTCAATTATGATGTATGTGTTTCTGATAGCAATTTAATAAAAATTTATCTCTAAACTTGGGTCTTACGTGTATTTACTAATGAATCGACAATTATGTAACAAAATTTGTATAGTCATATACCCATCAAACATCAACATCCATAAAAAGGTACCCCCGTAGTGTGTGTACCAGGTTAGGTTAGGCCATTAATATATTCCGATTTTTCTTATTTAGTTCTATGTACGAGTTTCGGGGTCTGTCTGTGTTAGCCAGGTAAATATACTCCATGCCCCAATGTTTCAGTCCCTTTACACAACTTGATGTAAAGCAGGCGAACAAAAATAGTTACAATCATATTGGGTACACACAATTTGGAGCGCCAAAATTAACAAGTATATAGCGTTGCGGTGGAAGGAAGCAAAATTGTATTTAGACTCAAATCAAAATTCAATAAAGATTTCAAAGTTTTTTTTACGCGGCTTACTGGATTTTGATATAGTTCCTTCATCGAAGAATCAAGCACTGATGTTCAGGGGAACATGTAACGAAGTCTTCAAAAACATCTTAACAATGTTTTTGTCAGTAGGGTAAACGAAGAAGCATCACATAATATTGTGATATTGAATGAATATTTTCCTGCTTTTTATGACCTTGTTATGTTATAATTGAAGTATTGGATATAAAGCATCCCTTTCATATCAGTAAGATGATGAGTTTGAAAGCATATTAAATATTGGATTCTATTGTAATTCTACATTGGAAATCGTATCGTCCTCCGTCGCGGAATACAATTGTCTCCGACTCAATATTGCCAACGGTATATATATTAGATACAAGCCGGTAGGCGTCCAGGATCTCCGCTGACACCCAGGCCCGCGGCATACAGTATATCGCGAGGATCCAATTCATTTTAGTCTCTGTAGCACTTTAGTGGTCGGCCTAACTTCGTCAGATTTAAATCTCTTTAATTTGTGCGCTTGGAAGTGAATTCATGAAAATTTCCTCGCAAGAAATAGGCGAGAGGCGAGTAGGTTTTGCACTAGCTGACGATTATTTGTTGCGGGGCAATGAACGGCGTATTTCAAAGATTGTAAACGTGATGCAGAATTCATAAAAGATTCCGTAGAAGCACTTGCCGACCACCTTCGTAAAAAAGGGTACGACAGATTCTGATTTTATCAGCGACTTTTCTGTTCTCGTATTCATCGGGAGATTGGAAGTGTCTGGCTAGTCGCTGCGAAACACCTCCCCGTCGTACCTTTGAATACTTCCTCACAAGAATGGTTTTCGGTACAATGTAATGGCTAGTAGACTGTACGCTATGCGGGTCATCTTCAATCTGACTGCTGCTGCAACATTCGTCCAAATTTTGGATTGTTTGTGCTTCCAATAATCGCTTAATAGTTTTCTTTCGCCTAGGCATTATGATTACAACTTAAGCTGAAGGGACATATATACATGCAAGACTCAACATTTTCCCGGTACTTTACGGTTCAATAGGATTATTTATTTATCATATTTATACAACGATGTCTGCTTACCAGTTTGATTCGGATATAGCAATCCTAATTTATAGACTTAAATAGTTAAAAAAAACTGTAGCCAGCGTTTAGGTGAACCACCCACTAACAGCGAGAAGTACATCAAATCTCAAGCAAATAATAATTCCGTATATCAAGAACACCTGCACCGGCTCATCAGTTCCGTTGAGTTCATTTCAAACGCTGCGCGTTCCGTTGACATACTCACGTGACTGATATACCGTGACTAAATGGGGAAATTATGTTCACTGAAATCCCTAAGGCTTCTCCAGTTTATGAAGTATCGAGACCAAAGACGACTTATTGGAAAGAGTACTTTGCCATGCGGAAGGAAGCGCTCTTGGAATTTTAATTTTCGACTTGGTTGGCGAGAAAACGGCGATAAACTGTGAAAAAAATAGAAATTTCATAACGATCGGAGCGTTTTTCGTTGTTACCATGGAAACGAAACATTTATCTGGACTTTCTATAAAACGCACATTACTAGGGTGACATGATAACCTGTCAGGTGACAGGTAACAGATGTGAAAAATTTCATCCAGATTGGTCCAGCCATTAAGACGCTACATCTAAACAGACAGACAGACAGAACGACTGATAATAAGGGTCTCCTATAGAGCGGAGATCCAATTATACAGTCTTACTGATGAAATTGCATGAAAAATGCGCATTGTATTTTTTATATAGTGGAAGAGTGAAGAATGCATGACTCTGAAAATAAGAATGCTAACCCCTAAGTAGTGGAAACGCCTAATTATTCGAAAAAGTGCCAAAGGTCCAACAAATTTTAGGAAGGACGAAATTAGAGATTTCCTGTGATTTGGTAAAGCGCAAAAGTGGACAGATGTTGAAGTGCGAATATTTGAAGGCGCTTGCAAAAGTTGTTTCCAAAAGTTTAATGTTCAATAATATGAAAGTTAAAATCAAAGTATTAGGAGACTAATACATTAGAAACATCTCTTCACCTTTCCGATATTCAAATATAAATAATGGTGCTCTGAATGAATGCGCTAGTACTCGTATGCTGAGTCGATTAATTGTATTGAGTTCGTGCTCAAAAGATTGTTACTGTTTTAAATCAGTAGTTCAAAAACCTAAACGCAGTCATGCACAATCACACGTGTCAAAATCATGTCCATACTCCGTAAGCATTTGCTACTTCATTTTTTACACTGAATTAATGATTAAATTAAAGTAAACATGATCATATTTATTATATTTTTCAAAAGTTGATACGTTTCTTGCAATGATTCTCGCCTGGTCACATAAACAATATTATGGGTTCACTTGTGAGCTGTAGTCAGAAGTTCCCCATACTTGGCCTAAGAAGAAGAAAAAAATGCAGCACATTGTGCAGCACTGTCGATGAGGTTGCAGAGATATGGAA